CAATCCAGGCAGAATAACCACTACATTATGGTGCCAGTAGTGCCGTAGTGCCCTCCCAGGGTAAGTAGTCAAACTGTTTAAGAACAATTTGACAACTTACCCGGTGCAGGCTTCAAAGCAGGACATAACAGTCATTCAAACCCAGCTTTCCACGCTTGAAAAGACTCGGTTCCAAAGGTCTGGTCCCAACACAGGGCAATGTCTGCACAGCTGACAGCCATGGAAGATTGACTACGGCGCACAAACATAAAAATCAGGGGCGTCCCTGCAGGAATCACGACAGATGAACTACCACACTACACCAGACACCTATTAGCTTCTATTCTGCCCCACGTCATAGCAAAGAAATTGACAATTGAGGGGATATACCGCCTACCTGGCTCCACTAAGGCAACGCCGACAGCAGCCCAGACATCATACTTGGGTGCCTAAGGGTCCATGATAAATTCCAGATAATGTCAGCACTCAAAAATAAGACACCCCTGGCTTTTGAGGAAGCATCCCTCACGTTCTACCAAGACCTGACCAAAGCCACCCTCCTCTGGTGCAAATCCTTTGGCCCTATCACAAGTAGTCTGAGAACAGCAGGCATCACCTACAGGTGGCGGACAAATGGTTCTCTAGTAGCAAACCGCAACGGAACCCCACACACTCACATCAATGGAAGACTGTAGAACCATCTACATGGCCCACTGCCGGAACTCGGGGTCCCGAACACGTTGTTCCCTTTGTTCCGAGGAACATCAAATCACAGGCCACAGAACCAAGACACCAAACAAGAATTGAGTTACCATACGTCACCTGAATTCCTGACGGTCATTGCTCCCCTAATCAGGCACTCCCTTGGAGAGTCTAAAGCCTAATAACTGCAACCAGCTCTTTTTCATTTGTTGTTTTGCTCTGTTTTCCCTTATATACAGTAGCAGTCTAGTATTATTATTTTTTCCACTAACGTTTGAAACAACACTTTCAGCATAACTCCAAATTAAAAGGTCACAGGCTAGAGACACTCGCATAACACACACTAAGACAACAGAACCGATTGGCCTCTCACACGCACAAGCCCACCTTCGCTGCTCCCTTGGTTAGGAGTTATCACACTCAAAGCACAGAACGACACCACATGCTTGAAAAGCCATATTAACCAGAAATACTTAAACTCAGGAACACAGCAGGCTTCACACATTTCGGACCACACCCCGCATGCTTATACGATACTTACCCCTCAAGCTACCACGCATGCCAATCAAATGCACTCCATCTGCAACACTCCCATTTAGTCCCCTGGCATATCATGTCACCAGCACCAAGTGTCACTATGGGCACAATGCCCCCCTCAAAGGGGACCCTTTCATACATTCCAACAGGCTCACGTGCACCCCACCATCGGATTTAGTAGCAAAGAGCACTCTGACAGCATACCATGTACAGTGATAGTCCAAGTTAGAACAACCTGCTAGTCCTGACAGTCAGGGCTCCAACCTGTTTCGTCTACAATGCAGAATGACTCTCTACGAGACTAACATTACCAGCTTAGCAACTGGCTGGTAGAGCGAGAGCTTGTACCCTCCAATACCTCTTGCAGCCGATTGATCGACACATGCATAGATCTGCTTAACACACGTCGGGCTAAAACGCTATGACATGTTTAGTCCAGAGCTCCAGACCTAACTTTGAAGCCTACGTTTAGTACTCTTGTTTATTCTAATTTAAAAAAATGTGCAAGTGTGCCATGTACTTGTTTGTTGTTGTAATGCATGCTATTGCTTTTGTAACGTGGCATGCATGAATGTCATCTACTGCACAAATAAAATAAAGAATTAAAAAAAAGAAAAAAGAAAAAAATGTACCACTACTCACCTTAGGCTCTTTTCTAACAAGCACCCTCCTAGCTAATGTGACACTGTCACCTAGTTTTATACCTTCAATCCGACTCCTAGAGATCTCTAATAAGCTACCTGTGTTGATTTTATGTTTTTAATCTCAGATTCATCCTTTGACTAGTTTGACTAATCCTTATGATATATTTATTTTATTGTTAAGGATCAAATCAAGTGTTTGATAATTTTGTATATCTGCCCCTGTCCAAATTATTAAATGCGTGCACACTCCCAAAAGTAATTCACATCAGACACAAATTTCAGGTTAATGAAAAACTTGAGGAATGTTTAATCCAGGGGGTGGGTATGCCCCTTATAAAGCAGAAATACATCATATGCATAATTATAGATAACAGAGAAAATACATCAACAATTGGTTAGGTGTTAAGTGGTTCATCTAATGCACAGCCTACAGGGTGTGATGTCACTGTCATCATACAGTTCTCCTCCACATTCCAGCACCATCTTGTTAATTGGGTGGTTAGTCAATGGGAGGGGTAACTCCTAGCAGCCGGTTTGAATCTATCTAGATAGATTCTATAGATAGCTCTATAATCTATCTTTGTTTTACGGTCATTGCAAGGTCAATAACTACCTTTTGTTGACTATTTCATTCTTGCCTCATTAAAATAAAGAATGTAGGGGGACGGGGCTGGACCGCCATGCTAACCGGTCGCATGCAGGAGAGGCTCCGGAGCGATCGGGCCTCTTAAGCTACAAATGGCAGATTATTATGATGACCGACAAGCCTACGAAATACACACGGCTGTGGGAGAGGTAGCGGACCCTGAGATCGGGAGCTTTGGACCCCATAGTGGAAGACCGAAGCTTCGAGGGCTGCGGCCTACTCGGGAGGGAGGCGAGGTGGACGGCCGCTGCCAGGCCTCCCTTCCCAACTGCCACACGCTGATTGCCAGAGCAGCTTGCCGGTCCCGTTTCCCCCCCCCCCCTTTGGGCCGGGGGGGTCATCCCGGTCCCCACTGAGAAGAGAGGTGGGGAGACTGGGGCACAAGAAACATCCGAGGCTAACCTTGCAAGATGGCGGCAGCTTCTGACTCTCCACCATCTACCCCTACAACACGGAGTCTCTCTAAGCTGCAACCAAGCCAACCACTCCGGCGGAGGTCCCCAAAGCCAGATACTCGAGGGATACAGCGCTGGGAGAGAGGGAGACCGTGCAAGTAACTGGATCCGCCGCCCGCAACAGACCCTCTCTGGGGGGGGCCGGACACACGTGGCGAGCAACGGAGCCATGTTCGCAGCGTGTATCTACCAACTGGAGCTAAGCAGTCGGAACAGGACGAACCTCAATTCTCTCGTTATGTGCCGAGCAGCTGGGGTACCAGACCGGGGTCTAGGAAGACCGATCCTGGCATGCAAGCACAGAGACACCCGCAGCCCCAAAACAGGTGGACTTTGTTAGAAACAGCAGCTACACGTAACCCACTGGCAGCTTCAGACCTAAGATGCACAGCGGTACACCGCTGCCACTTTGCCCTTTTTGGCCTCTTCTCCCCACCAGACCCCACCCAGAGCTTTGTAGCTGCGCGGGGTCCTGCTCAACTCCAGTGGTCACTTGCCTACTGGCTCACACGACCATTTAAGTTAATACCCCTCATGTCAGTGGTCTATTGCTTATAAATTTTCTACTTGGTCTTACATGCAGACATATATGACTCACAACGTTAAAAATCCATTGCTGAGAAGAATGTACATCCAATGCTTTCCCTTTTTGTCTCTTCTCTGACTCCTACTATCCGACTTTAAGCTGCTGTCACTATGGCATAAATATTTACCCTTCTCAGAAAAGCAATGCCATAAGCCTTACCATAATCTAACTATTGTTGATACTTGCATAACATATACCACTAGATTGCCTTACTACGTTTAAAAAATGTTTTAAAAATGTGCTTTCACTTCTATGCCACATATGTGTACATTTATGTTATTGATGTGATTATGTTTGCTGTTGTGGCAACGTATATCCTACTGTCAAACCATGCACAACAAAAATAAAAAATTCAACAAAAAAAAATAAAGAATGTAAATCTATGGATTATCTCATGGGATTCTCCAAAAACACAAGTACTGTATTATACTCTCATACATGCACAATAATACAGTTCTGATGTTGACTCCTGGCAGATATAGTGCCACAAGCTTAAGGGGAACTTGCGGAAGATGATGGAAAAAGCTGTGAGGGACTTTCAGGTGAATAAATACTTTCCTTGAACCCCTGTACTACTGCACTGAAAGTGGAGCAATCATGAAAGTACCTGTGTGGACTGAAATGTCAATCTATCTGGAGTTATGTATTTGGAATAAAGGAATATCTATTATAACAAGACCGTGAGTGCAGCCACAATTTTTGATTACTATTGTATCACTAAAACCTAATGGGCTGGCACCCGGCATATTCAAAAAATTGAGCTTGAGTGCAAGGAACTTTTGCAGGTTATATATATATGTATATAAGTTGTGGGGGTAGACATGTTTAATCAGATTTATGGTAGGGGTATATCGCCTAAATGTTGCAAGTAGCCTCTAGGGATATCTCATGTGCAGTAAAACCAGTGTTTACCTTTTCGATGATTCCGCAGCATGACATAACACAGTTTAACCTACTAAGTTCTTAGCAAAAGTCAAAACAGCTTACTCTTGTAATAGTTAACTCCTGATTATTAACCCTTTAAAAAATGTGCAAGTTCTATCAAATGTCCTAAATGTGTTTATATGCTTTGTAAGCTCTCCTGCTTGTTACTTGCTTTTGGGGCATGACAAGCGTGTATGTAACAATATGCACAGCAAAAAAATAAATTTAAAAATTATATATATATATATATATGTCAATCTTTTTTTATTGAGGTATACATGTGATACAATATACGCATTGACAGTTAACAATAGTCAATAACAAGTGAGTGAGCCATCGGATAAGTCATAACCTTTATTTTTTAAGTGTATTGAGGGTTCTTGAAATAATCGATAATAAGCAGATAAAAAAAAAAGCAAACAAACACAATACAGTATAGTTGCAATACTCTGCACACTCCTAAATGCGATTAGATAACCGTATGGAGAGATTCCCACTTCTAATCAATGAATTACAATTAAAAGTGACCCAAATTAAAACATAGGAGCATGAGTCGTGAACTATGGGCTAGCAATTGATAGATGTTGGACCCGAATACTTCAACCCAAATATTAGTAAACATCATATGAACTTTGCCTGGGAATTGTTCAGTGCTATGGCTGTATTGCGTCACAAAGTGCACCAGGGGCCATAGCATGTTAACTAAAATCAGATTAACAACCCCTAACCAAGGGGGTCACGCTGGGGGAAGGAGATTGAACAAAAGGGAGTGCAAAGCCCACTCATGGCTTATGAGAACATCTGCAAGTTAAACCATAAAGGAAGTTAAACTATAAAGGGCCACAGGATGCCCAGCTAAGGAATTTTGAGCTAGACATTTAAATGAAAGATTAAAAGACAGTAATCATAGAAAATCTTGAGGCTCTGAAGTAGCTCAATATGACGTTTCTGATCTTTGTTCACTCCTTGTAAAAAATGGGTTGTTCTCTTGGTGCCCAGGTATGATGTAGTAGATGTTATCACTGAGATCTGAGGCAGGAAGCTCCATTGCTTAAATGAATGATGTGGCCTCAGTCAAGGAGAAGTCGTCCCTGGCAACAGTCAAGAACCTTGGTGCCGACCAACAGCATTCTATATACTCTATTCATCCCGTAGTTGACGGGTTACAGGACCGAATGACGTTCTATATTGTAACATGTTTCTGTTTAGGTCCTGGGAAAAGGTGAGATGTCAGGACTCGAAAGCGTACAGAGCCTTGCCCCTTACAGCTGCCAGAATTAATTTTTTTGTCCATGAGTAATTGACACCGGATAATTACATTCCGGAAGCTGATGAGGGAGCCTGCACTGATTTATTAAGTTTTAAGACAATTCATCAAACCTTATTTTTTCGGGCCTAGGTAGGTGGAAGTAACAAAAGTGGTGAGGTGTCCGATATAGTGTGGTAATTCGGTCAAATTGATTGAGCTTCATGGGCTGCTAGCACCACCGGGGAGGACATACAGTTGCAAGAAAAAGTATGTGAACCCTTTGGAATGATATGGATTTCTGCACAAATTGGTCATAAAATGTGATCTGATCATCATCTAAGTCACAACAATAGACAATCACAGTCTGCTTAAACTAATAATACACAAAGAATGAAATGTTGCCATGTTTTTATTGAACACACCATGTAAACATTCACAGTGCAGGTAGAAAAAGTATGTGAACCCTTGGATTTAATAACTGGTTGAACCTCCTTTGGCAGCAATAACTTTAACGAAACGTTTCCTGTAGTTGCAAATCAGATGTGCACAACGGTCAGGAGTAATTCTTGACCATTCCTCTTTACAGAACTATTTCAGTTCAGCAATATTCTTTGGCTGTCTGGTGTGAATCGCTTTCTTGAGGTCATGCCACAGCATCTCAATCGGGTTGAGATCAGGACTCTGACCGGGCCACTTCAGAAGGCGTATTTTCTTCTGTTTAAGCCATTCTGTTGTTGATTTACTTCTATGCTGTGGGTCATTGTCCTGTTGCAACACCCATCTTCTGTTGAGCTTCAGCTGGTAGACAGATGGTCTTAAGCTGCAAAATGTCTTGATAAACTTGGGAATTCATTTTTCCTTCGATGATAGCAATCCGTCCAGGCCCTGACGCAGCAAAGCAGCACCAAACCATGATGCCACCACCACCATACTTCACAGTTGGGATGAGGTTTTGATGTTGGTGTGCTGTGCCTTTTTTTCGCCACACATAGTGTTGTGTGTTTCTTTCAAACAACTCAACTTTGGTTTCATCTGTCCACAGAGTATTTTGCCAGTACTGCTGTGGAACATCCAGGTGCTCTTGTGCAAACTGTAAACGTGCAGCAATGTTTTGTTTGGACAGCAGTGGCTTCCTCTGTGGTATCCTCCCATGAAATCCATTCTTGTTTAGTGTTTTACGTATTGTAGATGTTAGCATTTGCCAGTGACTTTTGTAAGTCTTTAGCTGACACTCTAGGTTTCTTCTTCACCTCATTGAGCAGTCTGCGCTGTGCTCTTGCAGTCATCTTTACAGGATGGCCACTCCTAGGGAGAGAAGCAGCAGTTGCTGAACTTTCTCCATTTATAGACAATTTGTCTTACCGTGGACTGATGTACAGCAAGGCTTTTGGATATACTTTTATAACCCTTTCCAGCTTTATGCAAGTCAACAATTCTTATTCGTAGGTCTTCTGAGAGCTCTTTTGTGCGAGGCATCATTCACATCAGGCAATGCTTCTTGTGAAAAGCAAACCCAGAACTGGTGTGTGTTTTTTATAGGGCAGGGCAGCTGTAACCAACACCTAAAATCTCATCTCATTGATTGGACTCCAGTTGGCTGACATCTCATTCCAATTAGCTCTTGGAGATGTCATTAGTCTAGGGGGTTCACATATTTTTTCCACCTGCACTGTAAATGTTTACATGGTGTGTTCAATAAAAACATGGCAACATTTCATTCTTTGTGTGTTATTAGTTTAAGCAGATTGTGATTGTCTATTGTTGTGACTTAGATGATGATCAGATCACATTTTATGACCAATTTGTGTAGAAATCCATATCATTCCAAAGGGTTCACATACTTTTTCTTGCAACTGTATGAGCTCAGATGTCTATGGGATCCTCTGGATTCATATCAAAGCAGTAGGAGCAAGCCTCCTTGTCTGAGATGACAGCCATCTTGTGCGCCGTGTGGTTCTGAAGCATGATATCTTTGCTTGCATCTGCTTGCAGTTTTTGGGCTCTATGTCCCATAGTGCAGGTACTATGCGCCTGGAACGAGGTGGCCTCTGTAGTTTAGAAGTTGAGGTAGGCACAGGGTATACAGCAAGCCTTTTTACCGGTCTGGGTGAATAAAAAAGGCATCAGCCAATAGGCAACTTCGTGGAGAGGGATAGATAAGTGGTTGCTTGTGCAAGGGGCACGATTTAGCTGTCGTGTTTAGTGGATAATTTGCAATCTAGCAGGAGATCTAGAGAATGGCACCTGTTCAACCTGGATGCTAAATTCCGCCCACCCTAATATTTTAATTTGGTAAACAAGCTTAGATTTTTGGGGTGTATTTAGTTAGCAGTATTTGGGTTTTACTTTTGTTAGAAGTCACCCTAGAAGCTGAGTGATTTGATTTGCATTGTGTTGTAGATTAGACTGTTTGTTGCTCTGAGTTTGTGATTTTGTGTCTGCCAATAAATATTTTTGAGCCAGAAACAACTGCACATAGACTTTTAATCAAATTTATTTAATTTAGACAGAAAAAATTAAATAATTGAAAATAAACAGCAATAAATAAGAAATAAGTTAAGTATTATATAATAATTAAGAATTGGTCTGATATACCCCTGCCCACCCTCCTCCCTCATTTGTTTATTAAAATACCCTTTACCCCAGTTCCCATTCCCACTTAACCAAAAAAAAAAGTCCTAGAGTTTTACGATAAAATGGTAGAGATTTTTTTTTCCTCTCTCATTGCAAACAAAATTATGTACAATTCCGGGAGATTTCAGAGACTGTAAACATTTCATATCTTCTTTCTGAGCAAGCATTGGAGGCAGTTCTGCATCTGTGACCTCTGATACACGGACAACGATAAACCCCAAGCTTAGCAACAAGTAAATGATTCACAGGCAACTCTGTACCACAAGGGGTTAATGCTCTCAGCGTCAGGGGGCCAGTAATGCATAGCAGAGGTGTGCTTTGCTGGCCTCCTGGTGCTCAAATTGTTAAAGCAGTTTTCTTGAGCAGTATAATCTCTTTTTAAGCAGAGAACCCCCTCCAACACTCATCTCCCAGGTTTTATTCACATTAGAATGTATGGTAGCAGAAAATTGTGAGCAAGGAGGTAAAATACTGTTCTGTGAAGAGTATTACAAAGCAATGCATTGCAGAAATCCTTAAAGCATGATGCAATGCTTTTCCTAGACGACTGGCAGGAAATGTACATGGTACTGCAAAATCATGGGTATTTGTGATCAGTGAAGGGGTTAATGCTGTACGTAATGCATTAATAGGAAGAGGTTTCCAGTTAATGACTATTTCAGACCTTTGACTGTAAAATGACTAAGATATTTGGCAATACTGATCCCCAAGCATACCGTTTGGTAAATGTTTAGTGGGAATGCTGTGCAGTTGGGCTTTACCAGTATGGGTTAGTTATAATGCTGTAGCACAGAAACCTAAATGAACAAATTAACTTAGTGTGGTTAGACTTCGTATAAGGGGCTGTAGATACAAAAATGTATATTGTAGGACTGTCTTAAAATAATTTCATCTTCTGTTCTAGAGGTGATTCTATATGGTGATGACAAACAGGTCAACCACCATAACATAACGCTTTGCCAGCTTAAAGCTCTACAACTGCTGGATGGTCACTCCTGTTCTACTCCATGGGCTGTGTCATTGCTGAAAATGGCTTTACAGAAGGAAGCTGATAGTACTGTGTGCAATGCTCTTAATATGATTATTATAGGTTTACACTGCAGCCCACTGTTGAAACTTAAAAGTAGCAAATATAAAAGCCCTTCATCCAGGGTTGCCACTTTTTTTGGTAGACAGTTTTACATGATCTACTTTGTTTAGCATGGCATCATATATCCATGTTAAAGCCTCTTATTTAACACAGAGTAGGGGCTGTGTTATTTATATTATTTATAGTATTCACAGCAGTCTCTTAGTATAAATGACATTCCTTACTATGGCGTAAATATCTTTATCAACTCCTAATATAAATTACATATTATTTTTAGCATGTATAAAGTCCCAACATATTTCGCTGTGCATATGGCCCTACCCACGTATTTAAAGCAATCTGTTAATATACACTATACAGATGCCATCCCAGGCATATCTAACTCTTCCACGCGTACAGACATACCCATGCTTCTCATGTATACATATATACCAACATCCCCCCATACACACAGGCACAACCACACTCCCTCATACATACAAACATGGATACTGGATTCTCACACTCTCCCATTCGTACAGAGGATATCCATACATGCAGGCATAAGCACAACCTTTCAAACATACTTGTGGTTATACCCACATTTTCTGTTACAGAGAGACATTCCCATACTGTATAAATGGAAAGGACCATTGTTTGTATGACCTTTTGTATGTATGTGAGTATGCTTTTGTGTTTCAAAGCTGTTGTATACAGCAAACACAGACTCAAAGGAATCTCTGTTTAAAATGGAATGAGGCAAAAAATGTGATTCTTTGTTAAACAAATCTGCATATGCCTACCCAGAACATTGTATTAAATATATATATATATATATATATATATATATATATATATATATATATATATATATATATATATATATACACACACACACACACACACACACACACACAGAGAGAAAAGAGGTCATAGCCACACACACACACACACACACACACCTATACATACAGACAATGTATGATATGCTATAATTGTTTCAGTATGGTAAATAAACAGTTTGAACTGGGGATGGGGTAATTTCAAGAAATCTATCCAGAGCAGAAGGCTGCTGGAAGACGTTGTAGTAAGCAAGAGTGCAAAATTATATTGCATTTCCCAGAAGTCTGAAAGAAAAAGCAATTTAACTTCAAGTACTGGATGTTTTGTTTAGGGTAAGGGATAATTTGGTATATGTTTGTGTATATTAGTTAAATCATAGACTAGGTTTCATTTTTAAAGCAGATCTGTCAGCTTTTGGTTGTTGTCCCTGTAAATGTATCTTCAAAAAGTGCATATTTTGTTTTTAAGTTTTCAAATAGTGTAATGCTTTTCGTGAACTATTATTATTTACTATTAAACGTCAGCAGATTTGTATTTTGAGTGACAAATCCTGCATAAGTATTCACTTGCCTTCCCTCCTCTCCTAAAGCTGTTTGAAATCACTCTCTATAGAGAGATTTGTAAGATCATGGTGGATGTTCTCCATGAGAATCAAGTGTTTCCCAAACCAGTCCTCCAGACCCACTAATAGTCCAGGTTTTATCAGTATCTCCATTGCAATAAACCAGGGAAATATAAATCCTGGACTGTTGGTGGGCAATGAATACTGGTTTGGGAACCACTGAACTAACCCATTCATGCTTTGTAATAATGGAAAATTTGCCAGTTTAAGGATTAACATAGTAAAAACAATGATGCTTTGAAACTCATTACCTACAATATTTGGTGCTGAAAGGGTTTAGGGGTTGTTGGGGCCTTAGGACTACAGCTCTGTGACATCAGAAATGCATCATGGCTCTTACACTCCTAATCCATATTATAATGATTGTATTGCACCCTTCATTTTCTGTAAGCAGAAAATCACACTTGTGTCCCATTGGTTAATTTTTTATGTGATGTTGGACAGGTCACTGGTCACTTTGCTCTCCAGATTTTTTAACATAGATATTTGCAGGCTATTACCTGCAACTTCTGTAGGTACCCCTTTGACCCCGTGGGATAGGGCTGCCTGTGAAATATGAAGACATTTTTTTTTCAAATCTCCCTGTCCTCTGAGGGATTAAATAAACCTTAACTCTACACAATATGATCCCCAGAATATTCACCCCTGTGCCGTTGCATCTACACTTCATCTGTTTTGCAGTCAAAATTCTCTTGCGTCTTAAAACACAGTAGTTTTTTTTTTTAAAGTTTTTTTTTTTCCTTCATCAGTCACTTAACATGTAGAAAATAAATCCGGTGTCCGACGTTTAAATGTTTAGCCCTGCTTGCTCCTCACCCGTCAGGATGTGCGCTGAGAGCCAGGAATGTGTCCTCCTCCTCCTCCAAGGCGCGAGGGGGAGGTTCTTGCTGGTAAGATTTGGGCAATTACCGGGTTCAGCGGTTTGAGTTTTCCCCTGAAAATATGGTATCCTTGGTCCAGCAGCAGTAAATGGAGTCCGTCATGAGGCATGGAAAGAGAAAGTAACGAGGGGCTGGACCCAGGATCCCCTCGCACCCCAAAATCAGGTACACCCACTGAAACACAAAGCAAGATATGGGAAATTACCAGATTTTACTATTAACATGATGTAGTAAAGTCATGATTTTATTAATTACATGGAGGAGAGTATTATGCATTCTCTTTCTTTATTATACTCCCAGCAGCAAGAAAAAGGGAAGTATGAGAGAATCATAGAAAAAAGAAACCATAACAATAGCCTGGTAACAGTAGCACCAATCAGCATCCAGTAAAATCCATATAGGTGTAGTGCTCCTTGACGACTCCTCTTTCTGCGTAGATCCCGAAGACCATTAGTGCAAATTCCAAGGTATTCCAACCAGAAATACGAATTCACGAACCAAAACCATAACTGGAACTTCAATATAGAACAATTTTAACCGCCAACTCTCTAGCTGTATTCAAGCTAAAAGAGAAGAAAAATATGGTAATATCGAAATCTCGTGACTGCTATTCTGCAATTAACAACTCATCAACCATGTTAATCATTTGATGTAAATATATCAAGTTCGTCAACCATGTTGCTAAATCGAAATAAGTATCATATAAGCCATATTCATTGAATACTTACTCACCTGTGCCATGAAGGATCTTGTACTTACCGTATTAAATCATCCTAAAGGCCCCATTTCTGGGTTGCAACTTAATCACCACCCTGGGTAGGATGGGTGGGAATAATACTCGCCTCTGTGTCATTAATAAAATCATGACTTTACGTCATGTTAATAGTAAAATCTGGTAATTTTATTAAAGACACGGAGGCTCCTATTATGCTATTTTAAAGCTGACCAATCACTGAACTGGAAATGTGTTGCACGGGGTGAAAATAGAAATTACGAAATGTAGACTCATTCGACCAGTCGGCTGCCCGTAGGATATCCTCCCATTTGCAAACTATCATGGCGGCTTTAGAGGCCATAGTCCCGCGAATGGCGTGTGAGGAAAAAATTGAGGTGTCTTTGCCTGCCATTGACATCAACCATTTGATCCAACGAGCTAAAGTAGGATTAACATGTATAGCTTGGAGGAAAGACGAGACAGGGGGGATATGATAGAAACATTTAAATACATAAAGGGAATCAACACAGTAAAGGAGGAGACTATATTTAAAAGAAGAAAAACTACCACAACAAGAGGACATAGTCTTAAATTAGAGGGACAAAGGTTTAAAAATAATATCAGGAAGTATTACTTTACTGAGAGGGTAGTGGATGCATGAATAGCCTTCCAGCTGAAGTGGTAGAGGTTAACACAGTAAAGGAGTTTAAGCATGCGTGGGATAGGCATAAGGCTATCCTAACTATAAGATAAGGCTAGGGACTAATGAAAGTTTTTAGAAAATTGGGCAGACTAGATGGGCCGAATGGTTCTTATCTGCCGTCACATTCTATGTTTCTATGTTTCTATTAGATACTAGTAGGTGAGGTACTTTGAACGAGATGAATAATGGATGTGTTTGCTCTGGACGGAGCGAGGCCGTACGATGCTCGTATTCCTTCAGACATAACACAGGGCACAAATTTGGGTTGTCCAGAAACGACGGGTAGAAAACTTCCTTAGTCGAGGATTTTGTCCTACGTGAAATATTAAAGGATACTCTGTTTGGGACAAAAACGCGTACATGCCAGTCTAGTGCTCTGACATCAGCAACCCGTTTACATGAAAGTAAACAAAACAGCATCAGCAGCTTGGCCGACAATAGCTTTAGAGAAAGTTCCTGGTTCAATGGCCAAGATTCGATCAATTTAAACATCATATTGACATCCCAAAAGGAAGAATATCGAGTTTGAGGAGGGCGAGTAAGATGGATGCCTTTGAGTAAAGACAGATAAGACGATGTTTACCAATTGGGGTGCCATCCAATCCCATATGTCTCGCTGATATGGCTGATCTGTAAAGATTTATAGTACGAAAGGCTTTTCCTTCCTCAAAGAGTAGGGTCAGAAATTGTAGAATTGCTTTTGTAGGAGCTGATATGGGATCCATTGACTGTCCCACGCACCAATCAGTCCACTTTCTCCAAGCCGACCCATAGGCACGTCTGGTACCTGGTGCCCACGACTCTGCCAAGAGACTGAGTGTCGTCTGCGGAACCTCCTCGAGATTCCATGATCTCCGGAAATGAGCCATGCCATCAGTTGAAGTAGACCCTGGTCGGCCAGTTCGTGACTCATTCCCTCTGGGTTGGTCAAGAGGTAGGGCATGTCCAGCAACAGCTGTGGGAAATCTATCGACATTTCCAATAACTGAGGAAACCAAGGTTGTGACCTCCATAACGGGGTTACAAGGGCCAGTGTTCCCCTGGAATATCAAAAGACCACTAGAGTCCGAGAAATGAGGTTGAAAGGGGGGGAAAGCGTAGTTCCTGCCCTTGGTCCAGTCCTGTAGGAATGCATCTGTAGTCAGAGCATCTGGATCCGGTCTCCAACTGAAGAACCGAGGGAGCTGGGTGTTTAGACGAGATGCGAAGAGGTCTATATTGAAAGGTCTCCAGAGTTGAGAGAGGTGCTGGAAAATCATTGGGTGGAGATGCCAATCCCCTGCGTCCCGAAGATATCGGGAGTTCCAATCTGCCATCGTATTGTCCTGCCCTGGAATGTATTCTGCTATTACCGAAATGCTGTGTTCCAGGCAATAGTGCCAAAAATCTCAAGCCATCAGAGCGAGCACCTTGGATTTCGTCCCTCCTAGGTGGTTGATATAACGCACCGCTGAGATGTTGTCCATCTTGATTAAGATCGAGCATGAAATGCCTGTGGGGGGTCATACTGCGAATGGCAACGGACGCTGCTAATAGTTTTATGTAGTTGATGTGTAACAGCGATTCTTCGTTTGACCATCTGCCACCGGTGAAAACTGACCCGCAATGTGCGCCCCAGCCGTGTAAGCTGGCGTCCGACTCTATGACCAGGTCGGGCGTCGATCCAAATATCGCCCGTCCGTTCCATGCCTCCATGTGGGCTAGCCACCAGTCCAGCTCTTCCCTGGAGTCTTCGTCCAGTATAACACAGGTTTCGTATAAGTAACCGGAGCGTAGGTATGAGGCTTTGAGCCTTTGTAGGGCACGATAGTGTAACGGTCCCGGCAAGATCGCCTGTATGGACGATGCCAATAGCCCTATGATCCTCGCAAGTTGTCGGAGGGAAAGAGGGAAATGGTCGTACGATGCATAGGTCGTCTGATCTCTTTCTTGATCGAAATCATTTTATCTTTGGGTAGACACAATCTCTGTTGGACAGAGTCCACTTGGAAACCCAGAAATTCCATGCATCTGGAGGGTTGTAGAATTGATTTCTCTCAATTGACCAAGAATCCTACGTTTTGGAGAAGGTGGGTCGTCCAGGATAGGTGAATGCGTAGTTGGGATTGAGACTGGGAAAGAAGAAGGCTGTCGTCTAGATAAATTATTAATCTGACCCCTCGTGTGCGCAGGAAGGCAATCACTGGCTTCAGCACTTTTGTGAAGCATCATGGAGCAGAGTATAGGCCAAATGGCAGACATACAAACCTCCATTTCGTTCCCTGCCACTGAAACTGCAGTAGGTTCGGATGCGCTTCTGCAATAGGGATTGTCAGGTAAGCGTCCTGTAAACCTGTTTTGACCATCCAATCCGATGGTATGAGGAGGTCCCGAAGGCAATGAATACCCTCCATTTTTTGGTGAAATGGTGGTACTGGACAAATGCATTTAGAGGTCGGAGATTTATTACTGGGCGTACCCCGCCCCCTTTCTTGGGGACCAGAAACAGGTTGCTCACGATCCCTTCTGTGTCCCATGGGATTTGTTGGATAGCGATTTTTGACGCTAACTGCGATCTTTGCTGAGATTATTGTTTGGTGTTGGTCGGCCATATTTAGTTCTCAAGGGAACTGCGTCTGAACAGGGTGGGAGGTTAACTCCAATAGGTACCCTTGTATCATCTTTAATACCCCAACATCTGCGGTTAAAATTTTCCAAGCATGATGAAACAATGCAAGTCTGCCCCCCACTTTTACATGGGAAAAAAGGAGATACTCGGTACTCACCATAAGGTCGTCTGCCTGAAACAGACCCCTGTGGTCCGTGGGAATTCCAGGGCTGTCCCCGAGATGGGAAGAATGGGGTATAGTGTCGCTCCGGTACCGGTCTCTGGTTATTAAAGGAGCCTCTGCCGGCTCTATTTGAGCCTCGAAATCCACGGCCGGGTAGATGGCTACTTCCTCTGCCGGCCCCTCCAAAAACCCGAGGTGCGAATACTCTCTTAAGAGATGTCTGAGCTTTATCAAGTGCTGTAAATGTCTTTACGTACAGCCCAAGATCCTTAATAAAGGATTCACCAAAAAGTAAGCCTTTAGCAGCTGGGCCCGGCTCATTGGTCGCCATGCTGGCCAGTTTGGGCTCTATTTTCAGGAGAATCACCTTGCGGCATTCGGTAGCCATAGCCGAATTGGCGTTACCCACCATGCAGACTAATGTCTGCAACCAGCCTATCGCTACTTTAAAATCAAATTCGCTTTCGCCCGATTGGGCGAAAGCGAATTTGGGTCGTAGTCTTTTGGGTCGCAATGCCTGTTTAAATGTCAGACCCGGAATCTGAAAATTCCGCACTGTAGTGGTCCATATAGGAGTCATCATACTCCTCCTCCAAACTCCGGTCCGAATCGGACGAATACCCATGGTCACGTGCCCGTTTGCAAGCTATGGTTGATTTTGTCCGGCCAGGGGCTCTAGTGCGCGGTGGTATCGCGCCATCTTTGACAGCCTGAGGCGTGTCATTCGATGCAGGCTGAACCTGCAGTTCTGGAGGGGAGGCCACATGTCTGCTCTTTGCCAAAGCCTTGCGTCCCGGTTGTGCCATGTTAGTGGGTCCCGGGTTGCGTGTGTTCTGCATGCCACTAGTCTGTGTCTGAGTGATAGAAGATGACATGACCCCCATCACAGAGGTTAAAGCTCTGTTAATGGACTGTGCTATGGTGGAGTCTAGGAGGGATTGAAATTCCTCCGATGCCATGAGGCTGGCGTCACTTGTACCTCCCTTGTTAGAGGGGGAAACAACTGGTGTGGGGCACGTAGACCCTGAAGGTCTCTCACTCTGATCTTGCATTTAGCAGATAGATTCTTTACAGGGGATATATATATCCAAGTCCAACTAGTGACAAGATATTGGGCCCAGTAAAATAGCCTTATTAATATTGGCTAGGTGCCTAAGTGTACAAACAGATTTTAGTAGCCTGTAAAGGAAAAGAACTAACTATTGAGAGAGAAAAACAGAAAAGGGTGTCAGGATAGATTAATCCTCCACACCACACTTACAGTTTGGCAGCAATAACCACAAAAACAGCAATGATATCTCATTCTGGGTCTTAGGAGAGTGCTTAGGCAGGTAGGAGAAACTGTTATGCGCTGAAGCTCGTTACGTGTCAGTTTCCCACCGAAATCACATTTAAAATGGCGGCTGCGAGTGAACGTTACACTCGCGGCGATGGAAACCAAAAAGATGGCCGCCGCGCCACAAACTGCGCATGCACAGCCGAATTGTAAAGAGAAAATGAAACTAAATGGATGCGCATGCGCGGCCGCCCGAAAAACCGCTGAGAGAAACCGGAGGTGCGACACAAGCACCAGAAAAACGGCTGCCTTAATACAAGTCACCAGACAGGGAAAATAGATGAAGACAACCCCTAGGTGAAGGCAGGGAGGACTAGCACTCCTCTGACACCAGATAGGAATCACTCCCCTGACACCAGAAGGATATACCACAGACAAAAGAACTGACAATAAATATACAATAAATGTAGCACAATGTACAATTTAAGGAACATCCAAATAATGTATAGGAATTAGCAAATACAAATAAATGTATAAGAAATCACAGGAGTAGCAAGATGAGGTACTTAACTTGTCTGAGGGAGCAGCAAGAAAGAGGAGGAGTCAAGGAGCACTACACCTATATGGATTATACTGGATGCTAATTGGTGCTACTGTTACCAGGCTATTGTTATGGTTTCTTTTTTCTATGGTTCTCTCATGCTTCCCTTTTTCTTGCTGCTGGGAGTATAATAAAGAAAGAGAATGCATAATAGGAGCCTCTGTGTCTTTAATAAAATTAGAACACTGACAATGTCTCAACAAGGTTACTGGCACAAATCACAAGTCCAACATGCCTGACACCTGACTCATCTGGGTTTGAATCCTGGGGAAAGAGTGCTAGTGCAGATGTTTGTGGGAACAGAAATAATGTAGGGCTTGGGACAAAATGGAAGTAAAGAGGTAAAGAGTTAGGTGTTTAACTGTTAATACTTTTATTTTAATATTGACTAACCTGGTTTACGTATTACACAGTCTGATTGTTGTTTTATCTTTCTGTAGATCTATCGATTCTTCATACAGTACATAAACAGGGACACCTACTCATTCCCTGCCCCACACATAGCATCTACTCAGTGTTGCCATAGTGTTTGATATGTCCCATATACTGTATTTGCACTTATTACCAACCTACAGCAATTTGCTCCCACCACCCATTTAACCTACAGCACCTGTTTACTATGAAGCTACGGGGTTGTGTTATCCCATTATTTGTTCTACTGATAGCATGCACTGATTACTTAGCTACTGTTCTGTTCTCTCAATTCCATTCCTTCTATTCATATTTACCTTAGGGACTGCTGTTTAATTCTACCAGTACGGTATACTCATCATCTTTTTCCAGTCATGATGTTCACAAATTATTTCCACCATATCTTAATACATATTTATTAGACTCATTACCTGTCCCAACATGTGTGTGAGGTGGACACTACGGTGATCACAAGTTATAAGCTGATATGTTTAGTGGGTCCAAAAACAGTGTCTGTTCAGTATCTGGCATGGCAACAAGCAGTACACAACAGAAACTGAACCTTGAATGAAACCACATGGAATGAAAATATCAAATTTGTGATAATTTCATGTGACCTTGCAACAGGGTTAGTATAAACTCTAAACAGTATGTACAAATAATGCAAAATAAAAAATGTGGGAAAGTATCATTACAAAAACAAACAAACTAGGCTATACTAGTGGCCACAGCCAGTAGAGTCATTAGGACTAACATGAGGCATCACCCAGAATTCAAAAGTACCAGATGAGTGAGGAGCAGAAGCCACAGGGCCTAGACACGGCAGAGAAATGCTGCTGGAGAAGCCACAAGGTCGGGATGGGCAGGGTCAGGGGGTCATCCTCGGTGTCTACATGTGGCAGCTGGATGTCACCAGGCTGTGGCTGTGACCAAGGTTGTTTGCTCTGTGACCAGCTGTTTCCATGTACCACATACAACAGCCCAAAACTACAGATCTCTTTGGCTTCATCCCTGATATGCCTACAGCCTTAAACAAAGTTTGCTTTCCTTGTGCTATGGAATTAAAAAATAACACCCTGTGAAGTTTTAACTGAGTCTATATGCTCTTTCCATAGAAAATATGTGTAATCCTCACTAATTAGTTCTAGTCCACTAGATAAACTTGAACTGCGAACTCTTAATATTTTTATCCTAACCCCTTATCTTAAAGGGTTAGGAAAGGCCATGCAAGACAATCTCTGAGCATTCCATTGGGAATCATCTGGTTATAATGCAATTTCAAGAGAAGGGGAGTCAATGTATAGTTATCTTGTATAGTTTGTGTGTTTCACCAAAATAAATACTTTGTATGGAAAACAGGGTAAGGAGAGCAGTGTGGAAAGTGTGTTGAAGATGACAGCCAGAGAGGGGAGAGAATGACAGAACAGATCATGTTTCAATTATCATGCAAAGGATGTGGAATAAGGGAAGCAAGGGTAGGAAGTCATGTTTGTAAGTGGAGTGTTATGAGCTTTAAAGCACTCTTTCCAATGATGTTTCCCATAATCCAATGTGGAGGGCTATAAGGTATGCATTCTGCTCTGCAGGTTCCAGTATTAATCTGTAGTAGCAAACCATTCTGTTGTATAGCACCATTTCTGGGAGTGATAGAGCCCTATACAGTATCCATTTTCCATTAATATTTAAAGTATGTGTGAGTTGCATTAAATAAGTTATTTTACCTTATTTAATTCCTCATTATGAGGTATAATGTCAATTTAAATATGACTTGGCATCTTCACAAATTGACTATTTGCTCAGCTGTCAACTCTAGTGTCTGTCTTCCCTTCAAAAATATTTCTGTATAATTCACTCCTCTTCAGAGATCTCTTTACATTCCTATATACCAAATTATCCCCATAAAGGATTGTGAAAACATTTCATGCCGATATAATTCAAGCACAAAGCAAAATTGTATGGAGAATATCAATACAAAATAACAGGGCGCCACAGTCACTATATAATTACCAGCTTCATTTAGAATTGTTCTCAAAAGTAAAGAAGAGAAAAAACAGTTAGTAGATAAAAGTGAACAGTTTATTCAAATAAATACAATTTTAAAATGTATATATTTAGCAATGGCACAAACAAAGATGTGTAACAATCGCAAAAGTAGCCTAAATAGGCTTAAATCCCTATTTGATAGCAGCAAAACAATCCAAAGTAAAGAGTATAAAAATAAGGTGCATCGATAGCTGCTTGTATACCAACTCACAGGGTCGTCTTATCAGGGCTCTACGCTTTTCGTCGATCCAACTTCCTGGAAGCTTTGGATTGTTTTGCACTTGCACTTTAGAACTTTGTATTGTGAAGCTAGATGGTTATAGCGGCTATCCAACAGGGATTTAAGCCTATTTAGGCGAAACTTGCGATTGTTGCACATCTCTGTTTGTGCCATTGCTGAATATATACTTTTTCTAATTTTATTTATTTTAATAAACTGATCACTTTTATCTACTAACTGGTTTTTCTCTTCCTTACCTTTGAGAACAATTCCAAATGAAGCTGGTAATTATATAGTGACTGTGACGCCCTGTTATTTTGTATTGATACTCTCTATACAATATTGCTTTGTGTTTGTAAGCGGTTGGGAGTGACCTTAGGACAGAGGCTAGCCTGCACTTATTTGACACTGTGTGCTCCACCTATCTATATTTGATATAATTCAAGGAATGTAAATGATTCATACTACTCGGTAAATTGCAAGTGCACTTTATAAAACAGGCAGATGTCTGCAGCCAGTCAAAATAGTCCTATTATGCAAACCACGGTTGTCTTAACAATGACAAGGCTCACTTCCCTTTGCAGCTCCTACCTGGTCAAGGTATTATGTTTTAACGTGTGACAATGAGGTAAAGAGGTGGTAAAGGACAAAGAAGCAAAAAAGTAGACAGCACAAGCCAAGGTTTAAATGCACAGCCCACAGCTAAAATCGCCAACCGGTTGCATTACCATAGCGTGGGGCAGCAGGACAGGGTACATTACAGACAGTAACATGGGTGATGATGGGAACTTGGTGGAAACAGTGGGGTAGTAGTCAGAAGCCAAATTACCAAGAATCAAAATTACAACTGAACAGTCATGAGAAATCTATCCAACTGAGCGCATCACATCACCCTTTATCAAACGCACTCCCAAATACTTACTGGGTTTCTACAGATAGTTAATAAAGAACATTCTCTTACTGAATACATATTTTGTGAATTATTTTTTATGCATTACCTCGGTATGCACTAAGGGGCAATGATTCGCTCTTTTGTATAATTTAACAAATAAGAATTTTCTTGTTTCTTCCGCTGAGGATGCCACCTTATGACAGTGATGTCATTAGAAAAAGCAACAATCTGGTAAAAAAGGTTTGTCAGATGGGTTTATTGCTACAGTCTGTTTGTCTGTATATATGTGATGGTCAATTGTCCTTCCCGTCCAAAGTTAAGATGGATGCCACTCAGCGGAGCTAAATGGAAAATTCCCTAATGGTTCCCCAGATGGTTTTAAGACAGATTGAGGTTGCGTTTCACAAAGGGTGTTGTGGCTCTTTATCATGGCGCCCTGTACAGACTACAGAGCACAAGAGACAACAAAATGACACATAGAAATCCAGATTTACACAGCACTCCATGCACCCTAAACACCTCTGGGATCTCCTGTAGAGCTGTTCCTCAGGGGTGGGATGTGAAGGAGGAAAAGGAAGGGATGGGGGAATAAGGCAGGAGTCTGAAATACAACACGGTCATTCCATTGGATGCAACTTACAAGGGGCGGTGCTACGAGTCCCAGGGCAGCCAATGGTCGCTAGGATTACGTCAAAGCGACAGAGTCATCTCATGATTTGATTGGACCCTGGCACGAGGTGGGTGGGTTTCAAGCGGCAGAAAAAGAGAAGCTGTTTTTTTTTGGTCATGTGGTGTCCCTGATATATATATATCAGTTAATAAAATATATACTACATATATGGACCTATATGGATTATTAAATATATAGTCATTTAAATTTTAAATACATATATATATATATATATATCATAATTTAATATACATTATATGTAATTTAAATATATATATGTATATAATCATATTTTTTGTAAATTCATGTTTATTTTAATTCTTTATATTCATATACATACCTTTCCCTAGGATTTAATTCGACATAGTCGATGATGAAATACTTTCATATATGGATTTTTAGAAATATTTTGGAGGCCAGTAAGGTGGGGACATAACTTTTTGGCACACAAAGTATCAGCATTATAGCTGTTAGATAATATTTACGCTCATGATACAGGAAGATGATGAGTTTAGGTTAGCAGTATGTAACCTATGACTTTACACTATGTATTACATTTATTTAACCACAATTTCCACCATCTTCCAGTGTATGAGAGGAGTCACAGTTTGCCTATTGATTGAGGTGAACAGGTGGTTAAGTTGGGCAGATGTCTCTACTGGCTCCACGTGCAGATTCCTAACTGTCTATTGTTATTAAAGACGCTCCTTTCTTTCTTTCTGCCTCCTGGAGCAAGCTTTTAGTTTACATGAAACTGAAAAGCAAATTAAAACCATAATGAAAGTAAAATATAGAAAACAAATATATAATGAAAACATGAGGAAATCCACAAATCCAAAACACAGAAAACACAGAAATACCACGCACAAGGAAAACAGGACCAGACTCACAGCATGTCACCAAGATACACCTACCGGGTCCTTACATTAAAGCACCTTCTGTGCTGGACCAAGATGTACAGGTACAGAAGTTCCATTTGGGACCAGTGACCTCTAAGTCTGGATAATGCCACCCATCACCCACCGACTGTATATTACTTCAGTCCCTTTGTAGCTTGTTAGTCTTGTATTGAGGAAGTTGTGCTACCTAAAGCCTTGCAAATGTCTGCTTAACAGAGCCCTCTTGTTTGCTACACTGGGACCAAACCATATCCAGCTTGTAAACATGTGCTTTCCCATCCTCTTCTCCTGAGGGGAGGTATTAATTGCTGTGTTTGGTACCCACCTGATCGCCTTAGTATGGCCGGTTGGCATCTTTTGGTCGTTTAAGTTGTACTTTAAGCCTCTTCATGCCGATCTGGAATCCATTCATTGCCTGAATAGCAGCTTGAGCACTGCCTGGATTGTCAAAGCTTACAAAGCCTGAAAAATAGAGTAATTATGTATTAGATGCACAAGCATCAGGTATGAAGGAATGACAGAACATATAATGCACACATCAACAAATGAGAAAACGTGTCAATAGGTATAGTGGCCACTTCACTGGTTCTTTTTAGCCCTCTTTGCTTCCACAATATTCAGAATTATTGTCAGCTTGGATACCTCAAGGTGCTGTTTTTTTTTATTTACATTGTGCAGTTTCTGCAGATTTTCTTAGCCACACTGCATCAATCCTATCCAGACCTCAATACAATATAAAACTTTGGGATGTAGTGTACTATATCCCAAAGGATTTGTATTGTATTGAGGTCTGGATACTGTGCCGGCCATTCGGATATACTAAAGTTACTGTTATATTTAAGGCCACAGCTTGATATCACAAGTGCTTTTTTCCAAGGTATTATCCTGTAGATGTATCCATCATGCAGTAGCTTTAAAGGGATGCACATTAAGGATCGATTGATAATGATAATACGTGACCTTTCAGGCGATAACCGATACCAACATTCTGCCCCCTCCCTGCCTTTTACCTGTGACCAGGGAGCGGGACACTACACTCCCTAGTGGTCCAGTGGCTGTGTGTACGCTGCTCGTGTCTGTGTTATTATTATATCTGTGTGTAGTACAGATATAGTTCAGTGTGTAGTACTCACATTGGAGAGGGGGCAGCCGGAACCCACTGCACACTATATTCTGTTTCCGGGAGGTCAATGCTTTGATGGCCAGGTGCTCGTGAGAGTTGAAGAGAGGAGCTCAAGACAGCGTGCACTGGGTCCCACCTGCCACCTGCATTATCGGCAATATTGGTATCATTATAGGCCGATACCAGAATTGCTGAAAATGTTGAATATCAGCTGATATCGGCCAGACAAAAAATGTGTCTATTCTAAATGCACATGGTCATGATCAATGTTTAGGTACATCGTGGCTTTCAGATAATACCTACTTGGCATTAAAGGAATTATGTATTTAGAGAAAAATACATATACATTTAGAGAAAAAAAATTCCATATCATTATAGTACCCTTTCCCGTCTGTGTTACTGATGCAAGTCTAAATCGTTCCATGTATTCGTTCTATTTAATTTTAATTCTGACTTTGCTATCTAGCTGTTCCAGCAGAAATTCCTTAGACCAGACAATGTTTTTTTTCTTAGGCTTTATTTATCACGCTTTGTCATGCCCTATCTTTCTGCTTACATGAGTCTTGACGTTGTCTTCTGCTGCTGGAGCACTACTTTAAAACTGCTTCATTGTGAGTATTTATAGATACAATTCTGGACTCCACTGTTGTAAAGAGTGCTAGTGTGGCCTACATGTCAGCTGGAATACACCAGAATACACCAGGACATTCCCTGGTGTATGTATTATAAGTTAGATTAGTATTGTCAAAAAATAGAACTAACCTCTTTCATTAAGAAGATTTTACCAAACATAAATGCTGCTTGCTGGATGTTTTTTTATTTTACACACCAGTTTCTGTAAAGTCTAGAGTTTGTAGTGGTTAACTCCTCCTCTAGTGGCTGTCTGGTAGACTGGTAGGGACTTCCGGGTGCTTAGACGATTTTTGGCCGTCGGAATGACGCTTTATGAGGACTTGCAGCGTCACTGGAATCCCCATAGGAAAGCACTGATTAATGATTTCCTGTGGGGAAATCCTAAAGCGAGCGCGGGACACCAGAGCTGGATTCAGGTAAGTGACTGAAGGGGTTTTAACCCTTTCAGCACTGCGGGAGGGGGGCACTGTAGGATTCTATGGTGCCAGGAAAATGGCTTTGTTTTCCTGGTACTATAGAATCCCTTTAAGGGTTTAAATATGGATAGACCGATATTCGGTTCGGCCGATATTCCGGATTTTGTCAAGTATCGGTATCAGCCACTATTGATACCAATATTGCCGATAATGTGAGAGGTGTTGGTGGCCCAACGCATGCAGGGCCGGCGCATCCATGAGGCGGCACAGGTGGCTCTCTTAGGACCCACCTGCTCTACAGGCACACGTATCGAGTGACTGGCAGGAAGGAAGCACACAGCGCTCCCCCCTACCAGTCACTCAGTGTAGCGTGGTCGAGCAGAGCAGACTGCGGTACAGAAGCTTCAGTATCCTGTACCCGGCTGGACTGACAGGAAGGGCTCACTAAGACTGTCAGTACAACCGGGTACAGGAAACTAAATCTCCTATACCGCGCTCCGCTGCGCTTGGCCACGCTACAAGAGACATAATGAGGCACACTAGAGAGGGGAGAGGACCACTAAGGATAGGGGGGCAACACACTAAAGGACAGGAAGGGAGAGAGGGGAGGGGAGAGGACCACTAAGAAACAGGTAAGATAGGGGAAGGGAGAGGAACACTAAAAATTCTTGAAAACAAAAAGAAAATCAGACTGGCATGTATATTTTGTGCATTTACCACTTAATAAAAAAAAAAGATACAGAATATCGGTATAGGTAAGTTATCAGCTATCGGACTAAAAGTTCACAGATTACTGGTAATGGTACCAGCTCTAAAATAATCAATATCGGTTGATCCCTTTTTAAAAATACCCCTATAAATATTATGTATTGTTTTTAAAGGACAGACAGGGCTTTCATTTCATTTTCTATATGTATAACTAACACAATCTTAATTGCAAATAAAATGTTTAAAAAAAATTCATCTTTTTAGCATATAATACTTTTTACAAAAAAAGAAAAATGAGAAGGGGTGAGCCTCTTAGGTGAAAAATACTCCTAAGTATTAGGGGAGTAACTCCTATTTGACTTAAGCAATAGAAGAAAGAACAAAACAAAACATAAGCAGTATTTTTAACAAGTGGGCAGGTACAGGGGTGGTATAATCTGATGTGGCCTACTAGAATAAAACTTAACTTTTAATATTGCTAAAACAAAAAAATCACTAGTGTTAATTCAGACCGACAAACGTAAATAAAAAATGTTGTTTTTTTTATAAATGCAAAATGTATTATAAGTTAGATTAGTATTGTCAAAAAATAGAACTAATCTGTGATGAGTATCTAATATCTATATTTGATACACTAGTCAAAAATGAAACCTCTCTACGATCATGGCTGGAAATAGACAATGGATAATACTGGAGAGAAACTCCTTAGTTGTAATTAAATAGCAAAGTTCTTAAGGAGGGAAAAGGGGGTAATAAGCCCACTAATGTCACAGTTGAAGTATAAAGTATGTATAGAGGGAGGTATATGATAGTAGCATTGGTTCCTCAGTAGTTTTGTCTTTCTTCTATTGTTTACACGTTTTTAAAGTGCAAAGTGCACGTGCAACTAAAGAATCTCTCATAGATTCCTCTATAAATATAAATGGTTGATATGTCTAGGATCTAAATTAATTTTTATCAGTTAATGTTAACTTCACCAAACCCCCACTTAACGCTATACCAAGCCTAACCCTCACACTAACCTATCCTAACCTTACCCATAACCCTACACTACCCCTAACTCAAAAACAGCATCAACCCAAGCCCAACATTAACCCTTACCTAAGGCAAACCCTACAGCAGGCATAGGCAACCCCCGGCAATCCAGATGTTTTGGACTACACCTACCATGATGCTTTGCCAGCAATATGGGTGTAAGAGCATTATGGGGGATGTAATCCACAACATCTGGAGTGCCAAAGGCTGCCTATCCCTGCCCTACAGCTAACACTAACTCTACCCTTACCCCTATTGGGAAGATGGGTAGCCTAGTTTAAACAGAGTAGTCTTTGACTACCATCTACTGGCTGTTTTCATAATTGCATTCTATGTGATAATGAAACCAGCATACTTCCCAGCAACTGGCAAAGCCCAACACTGATCACAATTGGCATGGGCATAGGCAGGGAAACCGTTCTGGACTATTCAGAGCCTGGGGGTCTCACCTCATAAGCCTGTAACTAAGAAACACTGCATCTGATAACTCAGCTGCATTGTTAGGAATGGAGTTAAAGGGCTCTATGCTGACTTACAGCACTACTTACAGCTCATTGGTCAATCTGGGACCAATAAAAATTGACCCAGCTGATAGAGGGGTTTCCTGGAGTGAGCAGGGATTTAACCCTGCTCACACTGCAATCTATTTTTTTAGGCGTTAAATGCCTATTTTAAAAGCTGCATGCAGCTCATCGGTCAGTCTGGGGCCACTAAAATGGCTCCAGCTGACAGAAAAGAGCACCAGGCATCTATTGATTCCAAGGAATCCCTTGCGTCAGCAGGGATTAAATCCTGCTCACATACTGACACGTCCTAATGTTGTTTAAGTGTAAATGAGCAGGCATAGCTAATAACTAATAAAATGGACACTAAAAATATAGATAACACAGACGGAGCCCGAAGTTTACAGTGAGATACACAATGTAAGATGACAGACAAGGCACATGCATGATCTTAATTATCTGGTAGACAGCCACTAGAGGTGGAGTTAACCCTGCAAGGTAATTATTAGACATGTGCAATTCGTTTCGTTCTGAATATGAATTTGGACGAATTTCGGGCAATTCGGACATTCGGGTACTTCCGAATGTCCGAATTCCCGAGGTCCTGAAGTTCCGAAATTACCAAATTTCCAAAGTGCTGAAGTGCCTAGTTTCCGAAGTGTCAAAGTGCCAAAGTTCCAAAGCACAGTATTGCCTAAGTACTAATATACTTACCCAGTGAAATAAGAAGAATGTTACATTGTATACAATTTTAAATAAAAAGTATACAAACATAGCCAGGATTCAGCTGTAAGCATTTGCAATACTTACAATACAATACATATAAAATGTAAGTTACTTAGCCAGTCAATGTAATGACAGGAATGAATAAGTAGATAACTCCCTAATTCCCACGATATTAGGGAGCTATCTACTAAAAGGCTGAAAGACCTAAATCGGTCTTTCAGACAAATTTACTAATACTAAGTAAAGATTACTTAGTATTAGTAAATTATGCCCCTACTCGCTATACCGCGAGTAGGGGCATGTCTATTAAACAGTGAGCAGCCTGTGGTAAGTTTTATTTTTTTACAGGTACTTAGTTAAAGGTCCCCCCTCATTATTTTTAGGGTGAGGGGGGTAGGTGTTAATTTTTTTGGGGGGTGGGGGGTGACTAGGTTTGGAGACCCCTAGTCACCTGGGGGGTAGCATTTTTTTTTTAGGGCCCCCACCTGCCGCTCAGGGGTGGGGGCCGGGAGGGGGGACAATAGTTCCCCCCCTATTGGTTCCTCCCCCGCTGCTCAGGGGTGGGGGCCAGGGGGAGGACATTAAGTCCCCCCCTTATTAGTATTTAGGGCCCCCACCCACCGCTCAGTGGTTGGGGCCAGGAGGGAGGACAATAGGTCTCCCCCCCTATTAGTATTTAGGGCCCCTACCCACCGCTCAGGGGTGGGGGCCGGGGGCGAGGACAATAGGTCCCCCCCCATCAGTTTACTTTAGGGCCCCCACCCGCCGCTCCAGGGGGGCAATAGGCCCTTTAGTTTAAAATTCAGGCTCGGGAGGGGGGACCCTATTTTTTTTTTAACAGTGAGCAGCCACAGGCTGCTCACTGTTTACTAGACATGCCCCTACTCGCGTTATAGCGAGTAGGGGCAAAATTTACTAATACTAAGTAATTTTTACATAGTGTTAGTAAATTTGTCTGAAAGACCAATTTGGGTCTTTCAGCCTTTTGGTAGATAACTCCCTAATACCGTGGGAATTAGGGAGTTATCTACTAAGTGGCTGCAAGAGAAGTGCCGAAGTGTTGAAGTGCCGAATTGCGAAAGTCCCAAATTGCGAAAGTCCCGAATTGCGAAAGTCACGAATTTCGGAATGCCGAACCGAAAATTTTCCCCATGGACATGCCTAGTAATTATTGCAGTTTCTCAATAACTGTAATAGTTGCAATTACAGGATTAAGGGGACAGAGAGACTGCACTCAGACCAATTCAATAAGATGAAGTGGTCTGGGTGCCTATAGTGTCCCTTTAAGGTGATGAAATAGGTTATTTATCAACAGCCGAATTGATAACAAATGCAAAAAATACAACTGCCTCATGAGGGAATGAATATAAGAGCTGAGGGACTAAAAGGAAGTCTGAATGTTACACTTTATTAAGAGAATTAGAGAAGACTTGCATTACTAAAATCAGCTTCATCACATAGGAACCTGGGTACTTATGAGAACAGTCCTGTTAGGTAATATTAATCAACGTTCCAAGTACCCTTGGTTAACATGGAGCCCCCTTTCATATTTTTAAAAGAAATGAATTCCTAAACTATACATTTCAAAATTAGGATGATGTGGGAAAATACATGTCTTTATTTCAAATTAGTGATGTTTGGTTTTCTACTTCTTCAGATAAATGTTTAGTAAACAAAACTGAACACTTTCCCTGGTATTTTGCTGTTTACTAAAAAAACACTCCAACCATAATATTGAAGAAATTGGACTAGAGTTCCACAGTGCTGTGAAAAAAAGTATTAGCCCACTTCCTGATTCCTTCAATTTTTGCATATTTGTTATGCTGCGTGGTTTCAGACAAGCAAGATTTTAAATGTTATTTTATTACTTTAAGGAAACAATAATAATAACAACAATGTACCAACTGTCATGTATGGTTGTGAATGTGTGATGGCATGGGCTTGCTTTGCTGTCTCAGGGACAGCTGGAAGACATGCTGTCCTTGAAGAAATTATGAATTATTTTCTTTACCAGAACATTCTGAAGGAGAATTTCTGGTCATCAGTTTGTGATCTGTAGCTAAATAGTAATTGGGTTATGCAGGAAGTCAATTATTCAAGACAAAAGAGCAAGTCCGGTTTATTAATGTTTCTGGGTGGCCTTCTCAAAGTCTTGATTTGAATCTCATACGAAAGAGGGCATGAAAGAGCGGTTCATGCTGGAAAACCCTCCAAGATTGCTCAATTACAGAAATTCAGCAAAGAAAAGTCGTTCAAAATACATCCACAGCTTTGTGACAGGTTAAACTCCAATTATAGGAAGTTCTACTACAGTTCAGCTACAGTTGTTGCTGCCATAGGTGATGTAAGCATTTATTACATTAAGAGGGGCATTCACTTTTCATACAGGCCCAGCTAATGTTGGATTCCAACTTGTTTCCTTTACCCGTTAGTGACCAGACCGTTTTTCAATTTTTCAATACCGTTAAGGACCAGGGCTCTTTTTACATATATGCGGTGTTTGTGTTTAGCTGTAATTTTCCTCTTACTCATTTACAGTACCCACACATAGTATATACGTTTTTTCTCGCCATTATTTTCATCATATCATATAATTTACTCTAAAAAAAAATTATACAATATGATGAAAAAATAGAAAAAAACACACCTTTTCGAACTTTGACCCCCAAAATCTGTTACTCATTTACAACCGCCAAAAAACACACATGCTAAATAGTTTCAAATTTTTTTCCTGAGTTTATAAATACCCAATGTTAACATGTACTTAGCTTTCGTTTGCAAGTTATAGGGCCATGAGTACAAGTAGCACTTTGCTATTTCCAAACCATTTTTTTTTCAAAATTAATGCAAGTTACATTGTAACACTGATATCTATCAGGAATCCCTTAATAACCCTTGTAATGGCACCCCCAGGCATAAAAGGGGTTAACAGCGGTTTAGGAGATATTGCCCTTCCAGATATACAGGCAGCTACTGTAGACACCAATCCACTGAACCGGAGAAGCATACGAATGCTCTCAAACATATGAATGCTGTAAACAGCCGAATAGGAAAAACCATACGAACAGTTTACACTCCTGGCAATCGGTCTGAAACAGCATATGATCCAATTCCCCCAATAACGAGACGATACTTTGTTTTGAGGTTCAAGCAGAATCAGCCAGAGCTGTGGATTTATTGTTCTTATATACACATTCTTACACATTAGTACCACCCACAGGGTTTTGTAAAACAACCAATAAACACGTACAATACACTCAGACACTCCCACACAAAATTCTCCCCTCTGCCTGTGATACAATTACCTTACACAATGGGTTAATGTAATTATCACAGGCAGGAAAATACACAGTTTTACACAATATTCATAAGTTTAAAAGTATGCATCACATTCACATAAACTTACATTTTCAGAATCAGCATACTCCAAATACAAACATACGTCAAAATCATACAAATTGGTCCAGTGGGTCAAAAGTTAGATCAAAGTCCTTTGTGACCAAATGAAGCATGGCTTTTCTGCCCAAAACCTGTTCCACATAGTCTTCTATCCTGGAGACAATTGGGAAGTAATCCAATTATCTCCAAGGACAGAGGCAAAACTCCATTAGCCTTTATTGTCTTTTTTGTCTTTTGGTAGCAAAAGACAATAAAATACAAATATAACTATAACTGTGCAGCTACTGCATAAAACAGGTACATTCAACATATCCCCAGATAGCTTAGATCTGAGCGCACATATTACTGAATGGCGCTCCTATCACATACATACAGTTCAATTGCCATGGAGTCAAAGTCTTTCACATAGTCTTTCGTTATACGAATGGGCTCCATAGCATAGTTATCTGGGGTATCACTGTTTAAATAGGGAAAGTACCGAATGACCCGGCTTTCGTGTCTTTGCAGGGGAAAATCAAGCGTTTCAACATGGGGCCATAGTCCAGAGGGAGCAGGCGAGCAACCAGGCTTCTCCAATGCCCAGTGGCGGGATTGGTACTGTCACAACCCTTCACATGTATATTTTTTTTTAAACGAAGACAACCTAAGGTAATAAACTTGGGTTATTTTAAATCTTAAATCTTTCACAAACACTGGCCAAAGTAAGCATTTATATTTATATTTGTTTGTGTGTTAATAATGCAAAAAACAATTATAAACTCTAACTATGGCCAGTGTTTGTGACTAAGTGGCTACTAAAAAAGACTGACTATACCTCATTTGCAATACCTTGGGTTGTCTTCTTTTGCAAATGGTATGCCATCACGGAGGTAATTCTCATTCCTGGGCTACCATACGCTCTCAAAGGCAACATAACCAAGCTGGCAAATTTCTATGTGAAAAAATGGCCTTAGATTTGACTCTGTAACTTTCAAAAGCACTATAAAACCTGTACATGGGGGGTACTGTTATATTCAGGAGACTTTGCTGAACACAAATATCAGTGTTTCAAAACAGTAAAATGTATTACAACAATGATATCATCAGTGAAAGGGCCATTTGTGTGTGAAAAATGCAAAAAACATCACTTTCACTGACAATATCATCGATGTGATATGTTTTACTGTTTTGAAACACTAATATTTGTGTTCAGCGAAATCTACCGAGTAAAACAGTACCCCCCATGTACAGGTTTTAGGGTGTCATAGAAAGTTACAGGGTTAAACACAGTGCTAGCAAATTAAATTCTCTGGACTTTCGGCCTGGGTTGTCAGGCCGGTCCCTCAAATTGCAATCAATAAAATTACTAAATTATGTAAAAATATCACATAAATATGCACGTAGAATTGAAATATATATACATATTTATATATTTGAAATCTACGTGTATATTTAGGAAATTATTTATGTAATTATGTATATAGACATATGAACATTTCGGATTATTTTTATTTATATATACATGAATATATATATATAATTTTATTCTAAGTGTATTTTGATATAAATATATATATATATTAATATAAAAATACAGTTAGAATAAAGTTACATATACATATATATATATATATTTTATTTTGTCATTTACATTTTTGGAGAGGGGGTATTGTTTGGGCTGTCAGACAGGCTACCCATAGGAAGAAGGCCGATTGCCGGCGGGGGAACGGCGAACGGCGGCGATCTGTAAATACGAGGGAGAGGGAGGGAAGGTTTTTTAAAATAATTCTTTATTTTTGCAGTGCATATCACGAGTATCATTTAACAGAGTAATCCGCTGTGCCACAACAGCTACAGCGTGAATTTGTCAAATATCAAACATTTTGTGTGGTTAAAACATAGTACGGTAGGTATTCTGTACATTTTTAATTGTGTGAACTTCTGTGTTAAAGTGTGTATGGGAGAGCTGGTATGGATGAATGTGTTCATGGTATTAGAGATAGTTAGTGATGTGGTAAGTAAACAGGAGTAGTGCTAGGGGTGAGTAGGTGCGGGCCATCCGATGTGGAGTTGTCACGTTGTAACGTGTGGTGTGTTTGCTGGGATTAAGCGAACGGGCCCTCTAGTGATGGAACCCCTGACCGGGAGGGGGGCGGCAGTTGTGAAGCTAGGCACCCACCAGGTAGTGCCCTGATTCCAGGGGCTGGAAATCGAGGAATGTTACGTCCTCTTTAGGGGATTCTCTTGTGTGTGTTATGTTGAACAGGTAGTTAGCAACTGTAAATATTACTAATAAACTAAAGTATAACGGTCTGAAGGCAGATGTATAGTCCCGAGGGTGATCAAGTCCCTTGCTGTATGGTTGCGTTGGTGGCAGGTTTGAACGGTACAGTTTGTGCTGGGTTCCAGTCGTGGGTGTTCGTTCGCCTGTCATTGGCTGTCATACGGGACAATGAGCCCAGTGCCTCAAGGAGTGTTGGGGTGTCTGCAAGCGATGCTATTTTGTAAACTGTCCCGTTGTGGTTTACCACCAGGAGCCTGGGGGCCTCCTTTGGTATTTGATGCCGGCTGTCCTCAGTTGGTTTGTGAGGGTTTGAAGAGATTTTCGCCACTGCATGGTGGACCTCGTGAGGTCTTGATAGATCGTTATGCTTGCGCCTTCGAAGAGGAGTGGCGTCTTGCCCCGTAGTGCTGACGAGATAGCAATTTTGTCGTGGAAATGTGTGCAGTGTACTATGGTGTCCTGTACGGTGGCCGCTGGGGCCCTGTTGGGCTTTGGCAGGCGATAAATTAAATCTAGGGCAATTTTTCTGGCTTGGGCAGTTGGTAGGATGGTGGCAACCAGTCGTCTTATGTAGTGGGGGAGTTCTTCTGAAGTTACGATGTCCGGTATGTCCCGTATCTTAAGGTGGTTGCGTCTGGACCTGTCATCCAGTGTGGCTTGGTGTAGTGAGAGTGTTTGCTGCATAGCATTTATGTGTTGGATAGCTTCCTGTACGGTGATCATACCTTGTTTAAACCCTTAAGGACCAAACTTCTGGAATAAAAGGGAATCATGACATGTCACACATGTCATGTGTCCTTAAGGGGTTAAGGTCTGCGATGTCGCCTTCTACCACTTTTACTCGGTCAGTGACCTTCTGCATGTCTGCTTTTATGGCTGCTGCATTGGCTGTTAGTAGGTTTTTAATCTCCCCCACTAGGTTCTGAAAGTCTCTTTGGGTGACCAGGGCTGATCCGTCCTGTGCAGCCGGGATGATTTGTCTTGTGCTCGGCTGTTCAGTGTGTGAGTTTCAGCCTGCGGGGGGCTTTCAGATGTGCCCGCGGCCATGCTGGTCCCGGCCGGCGCCATTGTAGTTTGCAGCTGTCGTTGGAGCAGGGTCCCAATGTCCTTTGACCCTGATGTTGCGTGGGGTGGTGATTTTTGGGACCGGTGTCCCATCTCAGCGGCTGGCTCAGCCCGAGTTGCGGGTCTCCCTCTGGGTATTCTCGTTGGTGCGAAGGCACCAAACAGTGCCGCCAGATCCAGGCTTTGGGTGGCGTGGTAGGCCCCGGTTTTCCGCTTCTTCCTCGGCGCCTTGGCAGCCTGGAAAAACGGCATATGTTGTGCCGGAGGGGTGTTCGGGGTGTATGTGGGTGAGTTACCCGTACAATTATTTTGTTAAGTGTGATTTTTAGGGTTTTTTCGATGGATTTCAGCGGAGCTGATGTGGGTTGCATCCGTTTTGGTGGAAGGGATTTGGAGCCACAGGACCATGTGGGTGAGTTACCCGTACAATTATTTTAAGTGTGATTTTTAGGTTTTTTTCGATGGATTTCAGCAGAGCTGATGTGGGTTGCATCCGTTTTGGTTCAGGTGCAGGCTCCGCCCCCTTGTTTTGTTTTTTAATAAAAAATTCTTATTTTTCTAATTTTATTTAATTATTTATCTCACTGAGTGCCTCAACCCCTCAAGGCACTCACTACAGGCAGAGCATCGGAAGCCTGCCTGATGGCTTCCGATGCTCTGCCTCACTGCCCGGAGCCATGTGGGGCAACCCGGAAGTAATCGCTCCAGGGGAGCGATCACTGTGGGTCCCTGCAGTGAGGAGCTGGTATTGCGCAATGCCTCAACATCAAGGCATCGCTGCAATTCCATTAGAGCTCTAATTCCTCACGGACGTATCAGGTAATTTTTCAGGGGGAGGTGACAGTGCTACGTTAAATATATTAAATTATGATTCAAACATGAAGTTTGTGTTTACTTGGATTTCTTTCCCTGTTTCATTTTGGACGAGGAACTGAAACCATTTAACGCAACAAATATGCAAAAATAGAGGAAATTCTGAAGAGGGTAAATACTTTTTAACAGCACTGTTTATGCATTTTCTCACTATAACAAAGAGAACAGTGGGAGTTACTTTTCAAGGCTATGTGGCAATTTAAAGGGTGATATATTTCCATAAATCGCATGAGCGAGCAGGTCACTCACCAAAACACTTGCTCTGATTGGTAGCTCGGTCAACAAAAACTTTGGCGGAGATAACATTTCCAAATGGGAGGAACATCTGCAGGATTTCTGAGTCAGTGAATTCCTGTGGCAGGTGATAAATGAAGATGTTGCATCCTTCTGGACCTGTCAAAATTAGAGGCAGACATATTAGGCTAGACCAGCGTTATGGTGTTTGGGCTGAATTTTTTTTATTGAATTACCCACTTACCCTCTCTCTGTTGCTGTTGTTGTGGAGGCTGCTGTTGGAGCAGAGGTTGAGGCTGTGTGAACGCCGGGCTCACCAAACCATACGCTGCAGGATAGGCAGCTGTGAAATGAAGAAAATGTGGCAAATTACGCCTAATGCAACAGCTTATTCCAAACCACCCATTTATCCAACTCCTCTAGAAACATAGAAACATAGAATGTGACGGCAGATAAGAACCATTCGGCCCATCTAGTCTGCCCAATTTTTTAAAATACTTTCATTATACCCTGGCCTTATCTTATAGTTAGGATAGCCTTATGCATATCCAACGCATGCTTAAACTCCTTCACCGTGCTAACCTCTACCACTTCAGCAGGAAGGCTATTCCATGCATCCACTACCCTCTCAGTAAAGTAATACTTCCTGGTGTTATTTTTAAACCTTTGCCCCTCTAATTTAAGACTGTCCTCTTGTTGTGGTGTTTCTTCTTTTAAATATAGTCTCCTCCTTTACTGTGTTGATTCCCTTTATGTATTGTTTCTATCATATCCCCCGTCTCTTCTTTTCTCCAAGCTATACATATTAAGATCCTTTAACCTTTCCTTGTAAGTTTTATCCTGCAATCCATGAACCAGTTTAGTAGCCATTCTCTGAACTCTCTCTAAAGTATCAATATCCTTCTGAAGATACGGTCTCCAGTACTGTGTACAATACTCCAAGTGAGGTCTCACCAGTGTTCTGTACAATGGCATGAGCACTTCCCTCTTTCTACTGCTAATACCTCTCCCTTTACAACCAAGCATTCTGCTAGCATTTCCTGCTGCTCTATTACATTGTCTGCCTACCTTTGAGTATTACATTGTCTGCCTACCTCTACTGATTTAAACAGACGCGTCATACACAGTTCATCTCTTTACTTTGACTTCTATGCTCCATCCTTGTTACTCAGGATGCTCATCTTGTTCCTTTTTTTTGTTCTCTTCATCTACATTATCAATTCCCCAAGTTAAATCAAATAATACCTCTGAGTACACTACCTATAATTACAGTCATGGGTTAAAGAAAGTACACCCTCTTTGATTTTATGGTTTTACATAATAACAATCATCTGATCCTTAGCAGGTCTTAAAATTGGGTAAATATAACCTCATATGAACAATAACATGTCATGATTTATTTAACAAAAATAAAGCCAAAATGGAGAAGCCATGTGTAAAAACACTAACTACATCCTTACTTGTCAGGATATTTAAGTCGGCAGACATTTTGTGCTAAGATAGAAATTAAAAGTCTATATTGCCAGAGTCACTCAGAACAGAGCGGACTCCATTTTGAATTTCAGGCAAGACAGACGCAAAATTTCTTTCCTTTCTGTAACTAGCCACTAGCCTGAGCTAAGGAATGCATTATATAAACAAGCCAAGTGATAAGCAATGAAACAGGGGGATGGAATGCTCTGTTTAAATGTTAATGGAATAGAAATACATTTTAAACACAGACACTAGTGACAGAGAAGACTAAGTAATTAATTTTACTCTCTAAATTTTACAAGGTCCCATTGTAAGTAAGGGATGAAATTGAGTTTAGAACTGTCAATTTTAGAAATTACGATCAAAGTCGTTGCCACAAAGACTGAGGCAAACGCTTGGAACTGACAGCAAATTTAAGTTATGGTAGTCATTTTAGATAAGCCAAATGACGTCAAAATCGTCATCAGGAAAAGTTAACTCTTTCCTGGATAGGAAAGTTTAATTAGGCAATTACGCCCTCTATTGACCAAAAACTATATAATACTAGGTAACGTAGACACACCTACAGTTTCCTATTGGCCTTATCAACTAATGACGTACAGAGAGTCTGGCCCTTTAAAAGTTAGGACAAAGGGAAGAGAGAAGGTTAATTTGGGCATTCAGATTTGGACATTCAGAGAGATCCAGGACAGATATTCAAGTTCCTGGCACTAACCCTCAAACTCTCTTGGACACAACTCAAGAAACACTCCTTGACACTTAGAATTTTACTCTTACTTTCTAACCAACATCACTTTTCTCTATCACTTGCACACCTCCATACAACCAATCATACTCGCATCCAAGTTCCTGGGACTACCTACTCATCTGATGAGAATATCTACATAACTGGTAATTATGCTGGTTTTGTTTAATTAATCTAAATTAATTAAAATCTAATAGCATGATATATGACTGGATAAATCACGGTCAGATTTCAATATTTAGAAATCTTAGTTAACTAAAGAATATATAGTTATAAACATTCCATTCTGCAGGTGGCATTAAGAATAATTATATATTAATGTGATATTATCACGTGTTAGCATACCACTGTTTTTATCCAGGTGTATTGATTTGCTCTAAAATAAGATAAGATATATTTTTAGGCAAATTAAAATTTGGCTTTTGTAAAAATCTGGTAGATTATTCTTATTGGATGGTTCCAGGAAATGATTAATGAGCTGGTTCAAATGTTATTTTAATTGAAAATTACATAAGAATAGGATATTATATGCCTAGGAGGATCTAGCCAAAATTGAAAGGGTTACTCAGTTGATCTAACTGTTAGCCAAGGTTTTATGGCTTTTCGCTGGAAGTTTAGCTTTCTGTGTCTGTGATGTACCCTCATAAATCGTGTAAGTCTTGACAGTTGACGCTGTAGCTTTGTACTGTGTTTAAACATTGCCATTGCATACTTATGTTTTACTAAATATTCACTGATTATTATCATGCATGCTGCCTAATATTATTATTATTGTATTTGTCACAATAAATTATATCTATTTTTATAACAAATTGTGATTTTATTTGTATGGAATACATTTCACTTACATGATAACGATCTCTAAGATCTAAGAGAATTGAAATAGTGGGCAATTCTCAACTGTATAATATTATCATCCCATAAATATCCCCACATACTACTTCCATAAGAATTAAGAGGGTGCTGCTAATCAAATGCTCTTGATTAATTAATCATCAGCAAGTGTGACCATCTCCATAAAAGCCAAAGTTTTAGCAGTTTACTGGTCTGAAGCATTCAGATGTGTGTTAACACAATGCCAAGTAGAAAAGACATTGGCAATGATCTTTGAATACAAATTGTTGCTGCCCATCGATCTGGGAAGGGTTAAAAGGTTATTTCCAAACAATTTAAAGTCTGTCATTCTACAGTGAGAAAGATTATTAAAAAGTGGAAAACATTCAAGACAGTTGCAAATCTTCCCAGAAGTAGACGTGTCAGCAAATTCACCCCAAGGTCAGACCGTGCAATGTTCAGAAAAACTACAAAAGTTATATCGCAGACTCTAGAGGCCTCAGTTAGCATGTTAAATGTTAACTTTCATGACAGTACAATTAGAAAAAGACTGAATTTTTTTTTTTTTTTTTTTAGAAGGGTCGCCAGGAGAAAGCCGTTTCTCTCTAAAAAGAATCTGCCAGCACAGCTTAGGTTTGCAAAGTTGCATCTGAACAAACCACACGACTGCAGGGACAATGTCCATTGGACAGACAAGACCAAAGTGGAGATGTTTGGCCGTAATGCACAGCGCCATTTGGCAAAAACCAAACCCAGTATATCAGCACAAACACCTCATACTAACTGTCAAGCACTGTGGTGGAAGGGATTTGGAGCCACAGGACCAGGGAATCTTGCAGTCATTGACTCAACCATGAACTCCTCTGTATACCAAAGTATCCTAGAGTCAAGTGTGAGGCCATGTGCAATTTCAGCCAAGCTAAAGCTTGGCTGAAATTGGGTCATGAAACAGGACAATGATCCCAAACACACCAGCAAATCTACAAAAGAATGACTGAATGAAAATAATTAAGGTGTTGCAATAACCTAGTAAAAGTCCAGAGCTCAAACTAACTGAAATGCTGTGGCAGGTCCTTAGGTAAGCTGTGCATAAACAAATGCCAGCAAACCTCAATGAACTGAAGCAACACAATTCCCCCACAATGATGTGAGAGACTGATAAAGTCAGACAGAACACAATTACTTTAACTTATTGCTGCTATTGAATTATTAGGTGCACTTAGTGTTTCCCACATGGCTTCTCCATTCTGGCTTTACGTTTGTTAAATAAATCATGACACAGTGTAATACGTCATGTGTTGTTGTTTATCTGAGGTTGGTATTTACCTAATTTTAAGACCTGCTAAGGAACAGCTGATTATTATGTCCTGATATATAAAACCATAGAATTCAAAGAGGGTGTACTTTCCTTTTCCCATGACTATATGTCTCTATTCTACTATATTAATATCCATGCACTTTTAATACCCCCTTCAGGCCTGTTATTATTAAGACTGCTGTATTGAAATTGAAGTCGTGTCCCACGAACTGCCTCCTTACCTGTGTAATGCTGCATTCCAGCATAGGCTTGTTGAAGGGGGTCCAGCTGGGTAACGGGACTCTGAGCTGATATGCAAAATAACAAAATAACAGCTTTGTATACATAAGAGGCCAATAAGACATATACACACAATTTCAGTAAGTTATACACATGGAACAGAACGTGTTTTGACGCAGATACATATACATGGAATGGGAACAGAAACAAATTATTGAACATTAGATGTATAGACACAGAGGTACGCAGTGTTACCTGGGTAAGGGTGCAGGCCATTGGTGTAGATTGCCTCCGAACTAGGCTGTACACTGCTTTGAGTGGGCACAGCACTGTACCCGTTGACCCCCAGTGTGGCAGGAATGGCAGATACTGGTGTGGCAGCAAGTGTTGGGGGGGTACTTGTACCTAAATGAAAACGAGAGAGTCACTCTTAAAAGCACAGAAATGAAGCAGTGTTTTTTTTTATTTTTTATAATTCTTTATTTTTAAAAGTATTTGCATTTGGGGTGGGGTAACAGAAGAGAAGACGGGGAGTAAAAGTGAGCGATACAAATTTGCCAAACAGTGGTCGACAGTACTTAGTAGCTGAACATAACATTTGCGAGTATTGGTTATGTATCGCTTAGTGTCCGAGTAAATAGTCTATATAATGCGTTTGTTTCTGTCTATTTTCTGTCTTTCCTCTTGGGATGAAGCCAAACCGGTATGGGTGATATAATCTAGAGCTATTTTATATTTATGATATCAATCTGATATAAAAATACAACTACTAATTCATCTATATGTCTTACAATATGTTTTTTTTCCTAATGGGATTGTTAGATTAACATTGGTATTGCAATGATAATGTGCTGAGGGGCTACTGCTGGAATTAAACTTGCAAGTCTGAGGTTTCAAAATGCTCTCAGGTTGATGTTTTAACTAACCAACCTTTGATACCAATATTGTGCTAATTAGACATGTTTTCTGCTGCCTCTTTTGCCCCATAATACAAAAGTCTCCCTCCTCACCAATAAACAGGTGATTTTCAACTACCCTGTTATGATAATGTGTTAATGCCTCTTCTGATATCTAATTTTTATCTATTCCCTAATTACCCTTTAACTCCCGATAATTCTCTACATGGCATTCACTAAAGTAAGAAATGTCTGGAATTCAAATTGAATTTCAAATTTAAGGCCAAACTAGACAAACTGGAAGCATAACTGACATGAAAAATGTTTCCAGTTAATTTATTTTGTGGTTAAATTTGAAATTATCCAACAGTTCATACTGTCTTTTTCATCAAATAATTGAAATCTTTCAATGTTTTGATAAGTCTGGACGCTGTCCGCTCAGATAACTCAGCGATCTCATCCAAGAACTCAGTGTTTTCTTAGAACCTTTTGCAAATGTCATATGTTAAATTAAACTCTTCTGATAATTTTGCCCTGATCAATGCTCTTGTTCGGTAACTTGGTGATATCTCCTGTAATATCTGGACATATTTTGTCCTGGTGATACTTTCTCATCTGATTGTGTGTACATTTTGTTTTCTGATAATACATACTCTTGTCTGTAACCTGGTACTGCTGTTTTTGATAACTCAAATACTCACCCATCCCAGGACACCCATTCTGCGGGTCACACTCACCTGAAGAAGAGGTGATGGGGGTAATAGGTGTAATAGGAGTGGCTATGATCCCGTTGGGATTGATTGTCGCCATCTGCTGCATCTGCACAGCAGCCATTGTTGCCATGGGATTGAGGTAAGCGCTGTGGGCGGCCACCAGGGCAGCCTGCTGCTGCATGAGCTGTGGGGGACAGAATCACGGAAACAGCATGACACAACAATCACAAATTAATTGGATGCATGACCCCCAGATATTTAAAGGGGAATTGTCACGTCTCAGAAAGTTACACCATTGAATAAAACATTACAAGTGATCTATATAACATTTATTTTTTCCCAATTGATACTCCATTTCTTAATGCTTATGAAAGATTTTTCAATTGCTATCAAAGACTAGCTCTATCCTGACATAGCCAGGCATACAGTGTATTAAAGGAGTAGAAAAACAAATGTTGAGCCAAGATGGAAGTGCTGAGTTCCATGATAGTGGTAAAGGTAGCATTGTGGATGTCTACATTTTAATATTTTCAGACCTCACAAATACATATTTGTTAAATGTGGAGGATATGTTAACATCATATTAAATCCTGCAAAGTGACTGTTCCTCTTTAACATAGCCATTTGATGAAGTTTTAGTGTTAGTATCACTGTCTGATATGGTGTTAGTGAGGTCACACAGCCTGACATTGCTTACTCTGTGTGTAATTCAGCTAATACAGCCAGCGGTTGTGCACACTGCCTGATCAGCTATTACTAAGGTAATGCTGCCTTGTATTTTGCCATTAAATTTTGCTTTGACACTTTTTCTTTATTTAGAAGTTCACCTCTATTTCCCCCTGGTAGGTGACAGTACGCAAAAATGGTAAGTAGCAGTAGATCAACGAGTCATCACCAAGAGCTGGGTGGATTAGCAAGGCTAGGGGGAGGCATATTAAAGAGTGACAGACATACTTTAAGTCACATTACCTAATCGGGTGTCAAGGAGATAATGCTGCCTGATATGGGGATAGTGGATTCACACTGCCTGGTGGGTGTTTTGGAGGTCTTACTGCATGACAGGCAATGTTTTAGAGGTTGCAATGCCTGATGGGTGATGTTTAGAGGTTTTACTAACTGACAGGTTGTGTTTTCTAGGTTACACTGGCTAATAGGTTGTATTTTCTAGGTTACACTGCACTCGCTGGTGTGTTGTGGAGGTTGCACTGCCATACATGTTGTGTTTTTGAGCCTACATTGTCTGTGGTGTTGTGGCGGTTGCACTGCCTGACATAGTACTTTGGAGGTCATTGCCTGACATTAGGTTAATGAGATTACACTGCTGAACATGTTATGCTGGTGAGGTCAGACATGGTGGTTTTAAGTTTGCAATATTTGCCACTAGGTTCTAAGAGGCCATACTGTCTGGTGCCAGGTGTGAGGAAGTCTCGCGTGCAAAGTTTATAAACAGATACTTACAGAGACAATACACAAACATGAGTTGAACTTGAATAAAGGAGTGTAATTCACCTGGTCACTTACTGCCTGTGTGTACGCGCTGTACGCCCCAAACTGCAAAGCGATCGGACTGAACATGCCCAGCTGGTTGGCCACCTGCTGCATCCTACGCAAGCCCCGCTCCTTCTCAGTGTCTGCAAATTTCACCACCAAGCTGGAGGAGGCACCCTGCATGACACAGAGTTTAGATATAATTAAGAAAAATACACAGCATAACTACACCATGCTATATTACAATGTGTGATATTATCTAAGTGACACTCTTATCTAAGTGACATTATTAAACAATATATACACTATTCCATATAACATACTAGATGTGATATTAAATCATGTCACTATGCATTATAAATAAATTATGAGAACCCCACTTTCTCTCCTCTAGCACTCCCTCCCTCATACTCGGGAACTTTAACATCCCAATCAACAACTTCAACTGCCCTGATGCCTCCCGTCTGCTCTCTGTAACTGCCTCCTTTGGCCTCACGCAGTTGTCTACTTCAGCAACTCATACAGCAGGAAACGCTCTTGACCTCATCTTCACCAATCTCTGTACCACCTCTAATCTCTCCACTGTTCCATTTCCTTTGTCTGACCACCATCTGCCAACATTTGACATCAGCATACCCTGTACCCAAATTTCACCACCCTCAACTCTCCAATCTTGCAGTAACCTCAACTGCCTTGATCTCCAGCATTTCTCCACCAAACTCTCCTTTTACCCATCTCAAATCTAACTTGCCCTAACTCTGCAACTCGACATTATGGCACTTCCTTTAATTAAATGCAGCATGTGCCCCCCAATTACAACCCTGGCACACCAAGCTGACCCGTTACCTCCAAAAATATTCTAGAACTGCTGAATGCTGCTGGAGAAAGTCTCACTTTGCATCTGACTTCCTCCACAATAAATTTATGCTGTGCTCCTACAGCCTGGCTCTTTCCGCTGCAAAAGTAAATTACTTTAACACCCTCACAAGTACACTGTCCCATCACCGCAAACACCTATTTCACACTTTTGATGCTCCTCTTCGCCCTTTTACTCCCCCTCCTTCTACCACCTTGTCCACCACAAACTTTGCATCTCACTTCACTGAGATCTGTACAATCAGAGAAGAGATCTCTAATTTCTCTCCTTCCCCTACCAATACATCACCCAACCCCACTCCCTCCACCATCCTACACTCATTCACACCTGCTACAGCAGAAGAGGTTCCTGCTCTGCTCCGGTCCTCCTACCCTACCACCTGTTCCCTCGATCCTATTCCCTCATATCTCATCTGCACTTTGTCTCCCTCTCTTGCTCTTCCTCTCACTAAAATTTCAATCTCTCCCTTTCCTCTGGCACATTTCCCTCACCCTTGAAACATGCAACTGTAACCCCAATTATGTGTGTTACTTTCTCTGACTCTGCCTCTACCCCCAACCACTTTCTGTCAGCATCCCCCAAGGTTCTGTCCTTGGTCCCCTACTGTTCTCTATCAATACTTCCTCCCTTGGTAAACTCATCAGCTTCTTTGGCTTCTGTTATCATTTCTATGCAAATGACACGCAAATCTACCTGTCCTCTCCTGATCTCTCTCCGCCCATCTTGACTAGTGTCTCTGTCTCTGACTGCCTCTCTGTGATTTGCAACTGGATGGCTGCTCACTTCCTTAAGCTGTCCAAAACAGAACTTCTGGTCTTTCCTCCCTCAAGTGTTACCACTCCCGTGTCTGTCAACGGCGCTACCATCACCTCTACCTTGCAGGCTTGCTGCCTGGGTGTACTTTTTGACTCCAACCTCTCCTTCACCCCTCATGTCCAATCAATGTCGCTTCCATCTCAAAAACACAGCGCGCAACCGCCCCTATTTAAAGCCAGATGCGGCTAAGGTGCTGGTCCATGCTGTTGTTCTCTCTCGCCTTGACTACTGCAATCCCCTTCTCGGTGGTCTTATGTGTTCCCAAATTGCACCGCTGCAATCTATAATGAACGCGGCGGCGAGGCTCATTTTCCTGACCGCTCGCACCTCCTACGCCTCCCTGCTCTATCAGTCCCTGCATTGGCTTCCAGTTAGATATAGGGCTCAATTTAAAATTCTGGTGCTTGCTTACAAGTCCCTATGATGCTGCTCCAACATACCTATCCTCCCTAATACACAAGTATGTCCCGTCGAGGCCCCTACACTCTGCCAAAGACCTACGTATATCGTCTGTCCGTACTCCCACCTATAATTTCTCCAGGGCTGCACCTCTTCTGTGGAAGTCACTTCCCTTTTCCGTAAGACTTTCACCCAGTCTCCACTCATTCAAAAAAATCATTGAAAACTCACTTCTTCAAGAAAGCATATCAACCCCTATGACTCCTCTCCTGCAACTGTCAAAATTACCTACTAAGTCCTAGTTGAATACTTTTCTAACAACCTACTTCGTACCCCTACTTTTACCCTTTGTGTCACTATACCCCACTCCCTCTAGAATGTAACATCATTGAGCAGGGCCCTCCACCTCTCTGTTCCTGTACGTCCAGTTATCTGGTTACAGTTACATATATGTTAGTCCACCCATTGTACAGCACTACGGAATCTGATGGCGCTATATAAATAATAAAATAATAATAACCATGAACTATTGCACAGCATACACTCCTATAATATTATACATTGTATACACACCATGTAAAAGTATACACTTTAAAAAATGTACCAGTACATTTTTTTAGTATTCAGAGAGCATTTCCATTTAAAGATACAGAGGTATTGCACTGCAATAATAAACAATAACAGGGCTCAAAATTTACACTACCACTTTAGATATTAGAAATTGAAATAAAGTCCTGGTAAGCGGAAATACAACCATTGTAAGTGGACCCCAACTACCACCAGTGATTCTCTAAAAGCAGCAGCTATAGGATGGCTATATGATGTCTGTAGGACAGTGATGGCTAATCTTGACATCATAAATTGTTTCTGGACTACATTTCCCATGATGCTCAGCTAGATTTTAGATTCTAAAGGCTAGCTGAGCATAATGGGAAATGTAGCCCAGAAACAATTTATGTAGCCATCACTGCTGTAGGGGGAGGTTTGCAGAGGTGAGTAACATTTAGCCCTGACTTGTTTATAGCAATCAAATTTTGAGCCCTGGATATACGATAGCAGGCATAGGCAACCTAGTAGTTAATTGAAAACTGACAGGATCATTTACTAAAGTGAATTTCAAATTCAAGAAAATAAATTGCCAAACAGGGACACTGCTCTAAGTCAGCTATCTAATTTCAGCTATTTTGGCTTTAATTTTTAAATTCATTTTGATTTTTCACTTTAGTGAATAACTCTATGATTACCAAAATTAAGACTATAATAGTCAAAATCTTTACAGATTAACACTTTCCTCCTGTATTTTCCAATTACATTGTTAGCGCAGTACAAGTCATTGTTTAGTAAACCCCAATATGTACAGCCAGCTAATTTTCCTATAATCCAGATTCTTTTATGAAAATGAATACTGCAGGACTCATTCAGTTTTGTTGTTCCACAGTATTTATCTTCCAAAAGGATTCATTATTTAAGGGTTGGTATAGTCACCATGAATATGAGACACTGAGATGTGTAAAGCTTGATTAGTCATTTCGTTCAAGTACAATATATTGGGATCTGGAAAACCTTGACATTTTTGCACTTGCATGGTGAATGTATATGAATGAACACAATGGTATGTATATATCACGAAACAAGTACATGTGTCATCTTACCGGAAGAGTTCTGCTCCCATGCAATGTGTTAATCGCTGCCTGAGCCTCTGTGTGTGTCTGAAACTTCACAAATGCACAGCCTTGAGAGAGGGAGAAATCACATCACTACACAGCACCGCAATACAATCACAAACAGCGTCACGTTACTGTACAACATAAAGAAACCACACCAAAGAGATACATAACTATGATCCCAATCTATTGCTGTATTTAAAGGACCACTCTAGGCACCCAGACCACTTCAGCTTAATGAAGTGGTCTGGGTGCCAGGTCCAGCTAGGGTTAACCCATTTTTTAATAAACATAGCAGTTTCAGAGAAACTGCTATGTTTATGAATGGGTTAAGCCTTCCCCCAAAGCCTCTAGTGGCTGTCTCATTGACAGCCACTAGAGGTGCTTGCGTGCTTCTCACTGTGATTTTCACAGTGAGAGCATGTTTTCCTGGCACTATAGTGGTCCTTTAACTGTTATGTATGTTTCACTATGTGGTTGATTACAGAAATAAGTAGATGGGCTATGTCTGCATGGAATACTGGCCATGATATTACTTTGGATTATTTGAGATTGCAGTATCTCTGACTGTATCTCTTGTTTGGTGGGGTCTGCCATTTTAGTGTTAGATTGCCCTTGTGGGTGGTATTGTGCTGAGGTGTAAGTGGAATAAGAACTCACTAATAAGGTCCAGTAGGGGCTGAACCAACTGTCTGAAGGCATTTTCTCTATTATGTCAAGGAGTGTGGCTTCCTGACGCAAAGTCATGCATTTTGGAATAAGAAACCCACCAGCCACTGTTACATTAAATGGAATTGAGTTAGAGATAACTTTAAATTAAAAGAACTTGTCAGTTTGCCATTGCAAAAGCTAGTAAGGTGGTGTCATGTATAAAAAAAGGGATATGAATATAATTTTGCCTTCAATATACTGTGCAGTTTTATACTGTGCAGTTTTGGCACCAGTATTAAAGAAGAATAGTGCAGAACTAGAAAACAATGCAGAGGGGTGGAAAACATTAGTTACGTGGTAAGGCTAGAAAAGCTACATTTGTTTTCTTTAGAAAAAAGGCACATCAGAGGGGATATGATAGCACTATACAAATAAATACAGGGTCAGTACAAACGGCTAACCTGTTCAGTACTAGGAATATACAACAGATACATGGTCACTCGCTGAGACTGGAAGAAATGTGCTTTTGTTTACAACAGAGGGAAGGGTTCTTTACAGTAAGAACAACAAAGATGTGGAATTATCTGCCTAAAGAGGTTGTGTTATCAGATTCTAGAGATCTTTTTAAAAAAAGGCTTGGATGTCTTTTTTGTATAAACAGAATATTCAACAATATAATTAATATGTATGGATCAGGTTGCCGATCCAAAGAGAAATGTGATTGCCACTATGGAGACAGGTAGGATATTTTTTAGTGGCATAATTGGAAATAACCATAAATGTTTTTGTTTTTTTGCCTTGTTTTGGATCCACAGCAAAGAGGAATAGTTTTAAGGGCTGACCTTGATAGACTTTAGTCTTTTTTTCAACCTTGATTAGTATGTAACTATGTACAAAATCTTACACATAAAGAATTTTTTTTTTATAAATGCTATAGGGAATTTGGGGGACTAGTAGGGTTCTAGGATTCATCCATGCCATGGCATCGCCTGTTCTATTGATTGTGGTTATTAATAAATAGGACTCCTTTAAATTCAACTTTATCCCTTTATATAGCTAATGTATTCCCTAATGGAATGCCACAGAGTATGTCCTAAACATACCTTTGCTGGTTCCATCCGGCCCCCGCAGAACAGTACACTCATCAATATTTCCAAAGGGTTCAAACATCCTCCGAACATCCTCATCTGTTTGTTGCTTTCCAAGCATACCCACAAAAAGTTTGCGGTCCTCTGTGTGACAGGCAGGCATTTAATGAAAAGCAATTGGAGGAAAAAGAAGATATTAGAAGCATGCGATTGTGGGACAAGTGGAGTGTAAATGCATGAGAAATATTTGGATAGGTTGGTGTCGAGAATGGTCACTGGAAAAAGGCAGAGGTTCTAGGGAGAGGTGCAGGTGTTGGGGTTCTGGGAAGACGCACAAGGATTGGGCGCTAGAGAGAACTATCGAGATAGGGTGCTGTGGTTAGGAGCAAAAGTGTAGAAATATGATGTTAATGAAAGAATGCTGAGATGAAGAAGGGTGTTCTGTAATGGGTTGTTATTAAATGAACAAAGATGGGTGAATGGGAGGGTAGAGATATGGTGTGTAACAACTGGTGCAGGGGTAGGGTACTACAGAATGGGCTGCTGGGGAGAGGCAAATGAATGGGGTGTGGGAAAGAGGTACTGGGGAATTGGAAACTTATTATGTGTTCGGGAGAGGAGTATAGGTAAGGAGTGTGAGTGTGTGTGTGTGGAGGGGGGATGCGGGGGGGTGGGTTTGGTGTTCAATGAGGTCTAACAAGATATATATACGATTGATTCTAGACATCAAGTTTGAAAGCTCAATATTTTACCTCCTCTGCTTTCACTATCTGCTGGTTTCACCTGAATTGGCCGGTTCATCTGAAATGTAGAAAATAGAATGTTACTTTATGAAATTTCATAGAGATATACCCAACAATAATGTCTTAACAATGAAACATATTTATGAAGAGAAATTCTTGGCAATTGCCAAGGAAACAAATATAGAGTGCTTGCTGTTTGCTCCACATTTAGCACTTTGCCCAATGATCTATACATATTGGGCTCTTCATATCAGTGAATGCTTTGTGTTATTGTGCCATTCAGTGTGTAATTGTGTGTCCGTGAGTTACACTATCACAGTACCATGGTAGGCATTGTTTGGCTAGTGATAAAAGGATTTATGTATGGAGTAACAAAGGATGCTTGGGCAGACAAGATGGGCCGAATGGTTCTTATCTGCCGTCACATTCTATGTTTCTATGTTTCTATACGGGGGTCAGTGATGAAAAATTAAGGAGAGCCTTCAGGTGTCTTACTTATTGCATTTGACAAACATGCATGTGACACACGCCACAAAAAGAATGGAGATCATAGATGTATATGGTACGCTATTGTAACCTCTACTAATAAAACATCAAGGCAGCTTCCCCGAACATTTGTCATGTTAGTCTCCAGCTATTTATGGAATTATGTCATCTACCACAAACCAAAACTATCAATCTAGCTGCACAGCAATATGACACACACACTGTCCAATGCATATGCAGGAATATGGGAAGCCTCTGATTTAGTGATGCTGCCCACATCTCTGTGGTGTGTATCAGTACGCTGTTTATAAATAATCACTGTCCCCAGGCAGGCCTTTTTCTGCAGACCATAGATAAGCCCTTAGAATTGAAAACCATAACCTTTGTACAACACATTTAGTTTATCCCGTACCCAAAGCAATTTTGTGGCACTTGCTTAATAACGTCTGCCTATACATGACATCGTGACCCCGTCTCAAAAACCAACAGATGGACAGCTTGCCAAATCTGAATGTATTACCTTAACTGCTGCCTGGAGAAAATGTGCTACTAAATTGTGTTTTGACTCTGTATACTTAAAATTACTGCTGATACACATACACATATATAATACACACACAAAAGCCACATCGACTTTCGCTGATAAAATAAATATTCAGAAAGATTCACAAACTATAACACACTATCTGACAGGCACACAAGAGGTTAAGCCAAAACACTTTTAGGCCACGATTTACTGAAAGAATAATAATGCCTGCATTGGGAATTGAGTGTCAGTTTGTTTTTGTGTCAAATTGAATCAATATATTAAAATGTTATAATGTTTTAATATAGCGAACTGTGACAATGTATCAATAAATCAGTGTCATGTGGCATCAATACATCAGTCTTACAATTCATCAATAGACACATTTCGCAATATAACATTGTATTAGATTGAGTTCAACCCTTCACGATCAGGGTTAAACAAACACTTTGTAATGACAAAAAACAAACCCCAAAAAAACCCCATATTGTTTCTAATGCATTGAATGTATTGTAGAGTCATGTAGTATAACATTATGTCTCTATATAACATTGTAATACACTACTAGAGCACCGTGTATGACAGTGTGAAATGATTTTAAAAGTATTATAATTGTTGGTAAGGGCTGATATGCTTGTAAAGATTCATACTGTAAGTTTTAAAGCACGACTTCATTGATATGAGATGTGGGTGGTTAAAAAGACTGTCCCTGGAGTTCATCACATTAACCCTTTATTGAGGACCAATGACATTCCATAAGGACCCTGTGTCAACATGTCACACTTGTTTCTCCTCTGCAGCTGTCTGGAGCATTGTTGTTAATAATTGAGTGTGTCATTACTGGAATATTAAGGGTCTTAAATGACAACATTGTTATGACAATACAATCCACCCCAGTGATTTAGATGTATGCCCAGCTGTTTTGATATTGAGTTATAACTGCAATTAAAAAATACTGTGATGACATTGTAATGAGCGACATAGACAGGCTCATGCTGATTTGCCTGGGTAACAAACAATTTGCCATTCAATTCATACAAGCTGCCATTAGATAACCCTTGGAAAGATGTGAGGCAATTGCCTATTTCACTCCATTTCATTGAATACATTTCCTCTTAAACGTTAATTATCATATATGACGAATGTTATTACGAGTCACATAAAGGCTCAAAGGTCTTCATTGCCAACATTTTGTGTGCACTATTTCTCCTTTATGACACATGGTGGCGCTAGAGATGGAAAATAAAAACAAAACCAGCCTTTTAAGGAATATTTGGTTGAAAGATGGGCCATGTCCTAAGCAGGTAAAATAGTTTTTCGTAATTTGTTAGTTTTTAGGAAAAACAAAGTCACTGGTAAAATTAAATTAAACCTTTCTTGATGGAATTATAAAATCTAGGGAGCACCTGGAGGGTTAAGGGGCTAATATAAAAATATTTTTGTTGATTTTGCCCTGAAATTTTTAATCAGCAATGTAGAATGTTTGTACTTAGTCCCCATGATGTTTCTTCCATTATACATCTCTTTTACATTATTAGGAATATAATTTAGCTTGCGAAGGGGTTCACTACTTCTTGTTGATGTTAAATTTGTCTTTTTGAATTAAATTGCACAGGGCTAGGTAATATGGTGGCACTTAGAGAATAATTAGTTTAATAATATCTGTGTTTTAAAGGGCTATTGCATTGTCCATTATAGGGCAGTTACTATCACTGTATCAGATGCAAAAAAGTCTACTCACTATTTGCTACAAAAAAAGAAAAGAAAAATGCTACAACTATAGACAGATGTGTTTCTTGTGACATAACTGTTTACATGCATTTTTAAAACAAAAAGCACTGTTTGGAAAAACAGGAGTTGTGTCCAGTGAAGACAGACCCATACTGAGTTAATTCTATTTCTTGACTGGATGTCATTATACATATATCTGACTTTTCACTAAGCCTGATAAGCATATTTCATGCTGTTCCCAGGAAATTGCGTTTTTCTCAAGCTGCATCCCCATGGTTTTAGAGAGATTCGGCCTACGAATATTTGCATTGAGATGGCGAGGGAGCACTCCACATTCACATATGCTTCAAAGAGGTAACAATGATTATATTTTATCTACGAATTTGCATATTACACTGCTGATTAAAAGAAAGAAAAATTGAGCAATATGGTACTGAGTTACAGGTTACCACACTGGAACGATGTTTACAAGACCTTTAAATTTTGTCTGTGTATATTGTACGTCCTCCACTTATTGTACAGAATCTGTTGGCGCTTTATAAATGCCAGTAATAAATAAATAAATTATACAAGCTTACATACAGTAGATTAGGCACACTTCATATAGTTAAGGCTCTAGAAATGAAGATCTTTGTAAAGCCACTTGAGGCTGTCTGACCCAACCGGTCCAGGGACAAAGTACTTAGTTTTGTAAAGGATTGTGTTCATGTCCTGCAAGCAGCTTAGAATGACCCCAAAGAAAAGAGAAAAGTCTTGTTGTAAGAGAGCTGAGAAAAGTCTTTCTCATTGATGTCTTTGATGATAAAGAGAGCACATAAAACTCTAAAGGAACTTATGATTTGAACATGGAGAGCTTGCAGACATTTTTTCCATTGTGCCATAGTGGTTCAGAGAACTAGGCAATAGATCATGAAAATTTTTAGGTCTTCCAAACAATTCTTCTCTGAAGAACTACAATCCTGCCTTAAAAGATTTCAGAAGAGGCCTTAAAAATTATCAGTGACATTGTTTATTATAGGGACCAAATGTCCAAATTAGTCTATTTATAAACTGTTGCAATACTGATGGAATAAGTTCTTCTCTTGTACCTAACACCCAGATGGTGCAGGCACAATTCTGATTCTCCAAAGGACTCAGCATTTGTTTGCCAAACTGGGTACTCACTAAAACATATTAGACTTATTCACAATTGGATGTACGAACAAGGCTTTCTCCCACCACTACTTAAATGTGTCTTCTGGTTTTCTTGCCCTGATTTGTTGTACAATGGTAGATTGCCTTTTGGAATAAGTTATAGAGAACACACAGCATAATTCTACTTGAACAGTTAGCATGAAAACGAAGCACAACAAACGCTTATAAACATGGAATCCATAATGTATGACTTCATACCACTCTCACCTGAGGATTAATAATTAATAGAAAAGGAAAAATTACCCTATAAATTATTCTCAGTGCTGTCCCCCTGGTCTCTTTCCGAATTTCTTCGTGCTAAATGCTTTTCTTTTACAGAACTGTCAGCACATGAAATAGGTTCAGTGTAATACTACTTATTTATTTTCAAGTAACTTCTCTACATGTGGAAAATGAGAGCAATTTGGCGTTGGAAGTAGTGAGGGTCAGTCAGAGTTCAGGAACAACTTGGGAGTTAATATACATTTCTTAATCTTTGTTGCACGTCACTCTGAGTGTTGGGAGATCCACACGGAGCTACCTCTGTAGCGGATTGAAAACCCATTTTTCTATATTTATAGGACAAAATGGCAGCACGATTTTCACCAGCTGTAGACATTAGCTGTCTCGGAGAAGAAAGTACAGGGAAAAAAAAACCCTTGAAAAGTTATATATAGTTCCCATGGCTTACAGATATTTCATATTTTTCTGCCCAGTGGGCACATACAGTAAGATAAATTGGTCTTAAGGGTCAAACACAGTTAAAATAATCAGGGTTTGCAGTACAAAGTAAAAACATATCAAAACCCTAAAATGAACCCGAGCAAACTATTTGCAAGGTTGCAGCACTCACAGTGTTAAACATACATAGTGTAGCAGTGGCAATTATGAGTTAATGCTAGATTTGCAGCCAGTTTAAATATAGGGCAAGCTAACACAGCTACCTAGGGCCCATGGTTAGACAGGGGTCTGTATAAATATAAGCTTGGCCCTATACTAAGAGGAGTGGGGTGCAGCAAACTGGTAGACTGCCTGTATCCCAGTGTCATCACAATACTTCTATGTTCCTTGTTTCTACTCATATTAATTTGTTTGTCATTCGTTTTCTGTTTTGTATCCCCATAGTAAAATAAAGCACTATGGACCACGGAATATTATGGTGCCATTAATGTATCTAGAAAATATTTTACCAGGAAAAATATACTGATATTGCATTAATTGTCATATATGTCCTATATCAATAGGAATAATTGAATGACCAATGTACATGATAATAATTGTATGTCCTATAAATGATAATAATTATTGTGACCATCCCTCCCACTTGTGACCATTCTGTTATCAAGTATATCGTATTTTAATGATGATTATTTGTGATCATCCCCCAAATCTTTTTTTTCAGTTTTTCAAAACCATTTCCCTTCAATTTTCAGTTTCACACTTGGATACAAACAGTTATCTCATACAGGCTCCAGGGTCTAACATTAACCCAATACGTTACTGCTTTACTGTGTCGTCTTGGCCATGGTTTGCTGTCAGAGTTTTTTTTTTTTTTTTTGTAAATACCCCCTATAGATCTTCCAAGGGAGACACTCACTGACAGAATTGTTCTTGGCCTTGGCCCTCTGTCCATACACACATATGTAGACACTCAAAAGGTAGTGACTGGAAGACACATTACAAAAAGACAAACAACAAATATTATGCCTTTTTAAAAACACTACATTTTACTGTAATCCTTGGTACAATATTTTTCCAAACATAACAGCAAAATACAATTATTTTGGGAAGGGAGGGGTTGCAACTCTAAAATAAAACATTATTTAACACTTATGTGTTACATACTACACAGTATCAATATGTTCTTCTTTCACACCATGTCATTAAATGTGTATTATTGTGTCACACTGTCTCATTGTATGAGTGTGTCAGTGTGTTCTTGTGTCACAATGTTTTATTGTAGGAGTGTGTTAGTGTGTCCTTAATTTGCACTGTGTCATTGTATGATTGTGTCAGTATGTTCTTAATTCAGTGTGTCATTGGATAAATGTGTCAATGTGTTCTGTCACACTGTCATTGTATGAGTGTCGGTGTATTCATACACAGTGTCACACCGTACGTTTGGCTTAATGTGTAATTCTATGACTGTAGTTGTATAACTGTCATTGTATCATTGTGTCAGTGTGTAATTGTGCCACACTGTGTCATTGTTTCAGTATATCAGTGTCATTCTTTGAACATGTCAGGGTGTTCTTGTATCACAATATATTATTGTGTTTGTATCTGGTAACAGCAGGCTGTTACAGCTTCTCACATTTGCCCTATTTCTGTCCCTATTTCTGTCCCTGTGTTTAATTAAAGGTTCATCTGTCAATTAACAGGGACAAGCTCACAGGAGAACACCTTCCCCCATACACTACTCATAATTAACCAGGCTGCGCAACTCGACACTGTGAAAGGTTAATAGGTTGGCATGTCAGTGGCAGAGTGTACAGGAAGCAATTTGACATGTCTGTCAGTGTAAACTGTTAACAGTTAAACATGTCTGTGGCAGCATTAAAATGTTAAATATATTGGCATGCCTGTGGTGGTCTGGTGAGTGAACAGTTAGTCATACCTGTCGTAATGTAAATATAGTGTAAGAGTTAACAGGTAGGAACAACACGTTTGCCGGTCTCTTAGAGTTTGAAAGCATTATAGGTTGGTATACCAATGGTAAATTGAAGATTTAAAAGGCTGTCACTTTCTATGTAAATGTAGATTGGCATTTCTGTGGCAGTGTGAGTGATTAATAGGTTGGCATGTTCATGGCAGTTTGAAGGGTTAACACAATAGCATATTTGGATGTAAGAAGATTAAATAGGTTGGCATGCCAATTGTGCTGTGAAGGGTTAATTGATTAGCATGTCAGTAGGAGTGTGAACGGATAATACACATGAGCATCACAATGTACAAAATTATTAGGATGGTATGTCTGTGGCAGTTAAGAAGTTTTAAAAAGGCAGCATATCATTGGCACTATATAAGGTTAGGAGGATGACATGTCCGTGGCAGTGAAGAGACTATAAAACAGGAAATAATTTGTTTTCGTTAGCGTTAAAAGTTGATCTGTGTGTGGCAGTGAAGCAGTTAATTGCCAATTCTGGAGCTCCAGGATGGAAGAAGCGTTGCCATGGCATCCGACTCTGCATCCCATCCCAGGTGTTGCTAGGCAACAGTTGTTTCCCCTAGCAACTGATAATCTGTTAGAGGGCTTTTAGGGATGGGTGGGCCTTAAAGATAACATAGATGATATGTTATCATCAAGGGGGGAGGGTGGTGTTTAAAAATAAGAGGGGGGGTGTGGGAGTAGAGTAGTCCGGGTAAACAGTTTTGAGAGATTATTACTTGTGAAGACGTGATTTAGAGAAAATTGTATTTTTTAAAGAAAAATATGTTATGGGACTGAGCTTTGTAACAATGGTTTTTCCCAGCAGCATAAATCACTGTTAATAAATACTCTTTTTGTGTATGTATACATGTGCAAAGAATAAATCCCCCTTTCCTCAGCTTTTATTAATTTGCTGAACCTCTTCTGCTAAAAGTAGAGCCATAAGAAGGGACATTTATTTCCATGAATATGGTTGGTACCCCACATCCTTTCTCCTCTCCCCCTACAAAAAGATGCTGGCTAATTGGAGGGAATAGGTCCCAGGATTTCATTCACCGACAAAAGAGCCAGATGCTTGGTAACCATGGAAACTTGAGAACACGCTCCTTAGCAACCACCTACTCGCCCTGATTTATCCCAGTTGTTGCTAGGTAACTGCAGTGACATCATCACTTCTCCGTGTAAACAAAGAAATGGGGGCATACAATCACCCCCCAAAAAATTTAGAAAACCTGTATGGACAATTGAGGAGAGAATAATAGGAAGGAACATTAGAGAGAGGATGTGTCAGACAATATAGTCAAAGAGAATGAGAGCTATCAAAGAGGAAGTCTGAAGAATAAAGGAGAATGTAGAAAAGGAGGGCAAGCGATAGAATTGGATGTAAGGTGGGGATGGGGTGGGAGAGGCAGAATAGGTAAGTAGAGGAGATTGTGCAAATGGCATGTTAAATTGGAGTTCAGATAAGAGAAGAGCAAAGCAGATCATAGAAAGCTTGTAAGGGCAAATATTGTGGAGAGCAGGGGAAAGATCTAAAGACTTAACAATTTTATGGAGCGATAATAATATACAATAATATGTTGCAACAGAGAGGAACGAAATAAAGGGAAAGAAACAACAACAACAACAGACTGAGAGCAGAGAATAAGGAAGAGAGTGAAAAAATATTATTATTGTTATCATGTGTATAGCATCAACATATTCTGCAACCCTTCAAAATTATAGAAAGGCTTTATTTTAAAGGTAAAAAGGGCCCTATTCAAAAGAACATGTGAGGGGAACATATAAAAGATAAAGATAGTGCAATACAATGAAGAGAGGGATAATATGGGGGGGCTGAGAGAGGGTAGACAGAGATATGTATTTATGATGAGCTGGGGATAAAGAATAAGGCAGAACTAGGAGGGGCAATAAGTCAGAGCATCATAATACATGGGAATAATGTATGGGAAGAGGATATACAATGTGTAAGCGGGAGTTGGTTAAAGGTAGCGAGAAAGCAAATTAATTTCACATTTAAGGTCATAATAGCTGAGCTGAAAAACAAAATCTCTAAGTCAGTTATGCTTCCAGTTCAGCTAATTTGGTCTTACATTAAAATTCAATTTGAATTCTCACTTTAGTGAATAGCCCTGTAAGAAAGAATTAGTGAGCGGAGAGAGATAAAGCAGGTGAGGGTTAAAGGACCACTCTAGGCACCCAGACCACTTCAGCTTAATGAAGTGATCTGGGTGCCAGGTCCAGCTAGGCTTAACCCATTCTTTTATAAACATAGCAGTTTCAGAGAAACTGCTATGTTTATGAATGGGTTAAGCCTTCCCCCAATTCCTCTAGTGGCTGTCTCATTGACAGCCGCTAGAGGCGCTTGCGTGCCTCTCACTGTGAAAATCACAGTGAGAGCACGCAAGCGTCCATAGGAAAGCATTGATAATGCTTTCCTATGTGACCGGCTGAATGCGCGCGCAGCTCTTGCCGCGTGTGCGCATTCAGCCGACGGGGAGGATCGGAGGAGGAGAGCTCCCCGCCCAGCGATGGAAAAAGGTAAGTTTTTAACCCTTTCCTCTCCCCAGAGCCGGGCGGGAGGGGGACCCTGAGGGTGTGGGCACCCTCAGGGCACTATAGTGCCAGGAAAACTAGTATGTTTTCCTGGCACTATAGTGGTCCTTTAATGAAGAGGAAAAGCAAGAAGGGGCACACAATCTATGCTCATGATCCAGAATTGTGGCCTGTTGTGGAAGACAGACAGACAGACACACACACACACTACATATAGATTGTAAGCTTGTTTGAGCAGGGTCCTCATCACCTACTGTTCCTGTAACATTTTGTAATTGTCTGATTTATTGTTAAATTTCCCCCTTTATTATATTGTATATTGGTGCTAAATAAATGCCAATTATAAAAATAAATTCTTCAATGTACCTGATCTGTCCTTTTGTGTATAACACGGCTTGGCAATTGTCCAGATTAACACATCTGATTTGCTCTCAGGTGTTACACACAGCTCGGCCTCTCCCCAGTCCAACATATATTTGACATGCACACAGGTGATCTACACAGCCTGGCCCCACCGCAGCACATCAGATGTTTGACATACCTGCAGATGTGTCACAAGCCTGATTATTACAAAACTACAACCATTTATACCTGGCTGTGTATGTCTACTAGTTATTTTGTTTTAATACCGGACTTTCAAATATATTCACTGGGTGATTAGGTCCCAAAACGTCATGAGTAACATTATGCACTGGCCAATGTTCTAGACTTGTGACTAAGGGTTCTTCATCCCCGGACCAATTATTGTGTTATTTATGCTCCTCTTGTCCAATTAATGTCAGAATAAAAATGTAACATATTTCCCTACATACCTAAATTCTATTTTTATGATGAGGTTGGGCTTCACTAACTTTTAAGAGAGTAATAATTGAAAAAAAAAATTAACATGTTTCTTCTCATCCTTGTCTTCTGCCCATGAAAAGAGTTTTGAAAAAACACATGCGCGTTACTAGAGCCATTATTAAATACAATTCTAGCTTACAACTCCTTAAACAAGATACATTTCCAGTTCTGAGGTAATCTGTAGAACTAGATCTCTGCCCCTTCTGTGCTCCAGAGCATTCTCCCTTAGAAGTCATTTGATTTAGCAAATTATTAATCTCCATAATCAACTTAAATTTACATTACTTGAAATTCGGATCAGGATGGATTAGTGTTTTTAATGGGTGTTAATGTAATTTAGAGATTTTATTTAATTTTCCAGAGGGGAGTACAACAATATAGACCAAAACTTTGTCAATCTCTTTTAAATTTGGTAGGATTCCTTCAGCATTTTTGGAGATTGTAATCTTGCAGAAAAATATCTTATATACATACATGATCGAATTATCATCTAGTTAAATGTTGTACACGGAGTTAGTGAGAATCACTTAGAAGTTGAATCTGTGGAGAACTAACTGTGTGAGACTCAATGAGATCTGTTTCAGCAGGTTGTAGGTCGTTCACTGACATCCAGATTAGATGGGATAGATTCTGATAAAGCAGAAGATTATATTTTGCCTTGTAAATGTGGCTGGAGATGAGAAAAGCCACTACTTTTCGAAAAAATGCTTCTATTTGATTTAAGAAAAAACACGCATGTATCTGCCCATAGCCCATTTACACCATAATCACTACACTGAGCTGTGATGTAAGCCTCTTTCAGACAACACTTATTTGCAAGCATTCTTATTTACATCTTGATATCCCCAAAGGAAAATGACTCAAGAGAAATTGCATCTCTGAAGAGTCGTAGCAGACTCCTCACCCCACTGAATGTCTGCTGGCCTGGGGCTATTCAAACAATACATTTTGTAAGGCAAAAGTGACAGTAGATAAGCTGAGCCAACTTACCTAGAGAGTATCCCAAGGCTGAGCGACATGTAGAGGATAAAACTGGAATTTGACAGTATTTGTATAAAGGAAGATTGACATTGCTTATTTGAAGCTGTATGTTATTTTCTTCCATGTGATGTTTTTTTGTTTTTTTAAATCACATTTGGCAAGTTTTTTTGCATGAATGTTTTGTTTACCTTTTCCATTCCTCCTGTCTCACCTGCCATCTCATCCAGCTTAATTTTTATTCAGGAATCCATTATCGGACCCAGTACTCACCATTTATTGACCTGCTGTAATGCATTCATAGCAGGGCAGGCTATTTATTGTAATTTGTGCTCTCCCCTTGCCTCTCTTTCGTTAGTCTGACTATTTATTAATTTGCTTTGCACGATTACCAGATCAAGCGGCTGTACTGTGTTATACAGTCAGCCTCCATCATCGTCAGACAACTTCTGTTACAATTACCAAGCTGTGTGCCGATCTTCCAAGCAACTGAGTAATGCAGTAGCACCTGACAGAAAAAGATGAAAGCTGAAAGAGCACTGGTTTGGGAAATGCCCAATCTGAAAAAAGTGCATTACCGTTCAATAAATGGGCGACCAACCTGTTCTGCTAAACGGTGCACACAGAGCAATGGTAAATTACCACCCCGTGACTGCTCTACGGTAGTGAGTATTAGGTTGAATAACTGAATAGTCTGACCAAGGGTAAATCCAGCTGGCAGGTGAGACAGGGAAGGTAAGGGTACACAAGGCATTTGTTTGAAAAACTCAATATATACAATTTAAAATATACAAAAAGCATTATTACAATGAAGAAAATGACATAAAGCTATTAATAAGTTATTACAACCTAATGTGTACTTAATTTTAAATCATGTGTTCATGACCTATTTTCCAATTCCTAATTAAAAGATATGCTTGTCAAGAGGTGCATGGTAGTACTCTCAAAAAGTACTCTCAATATCAGACAAAGAGAACATCTGGGATCTGTTGTTAAATCATATTGTCACAGTAAGAAAGAGACACATTTTCTCGCTTCTACAAATTGGCTCTCTTTCCATGGCGGTCTTCAACTTCAATCTTTTCTTGTTATTATCATTTCATTCTTTACTTTGTCGCTGAGTCTTTCTCTTGGTTTTTATTTAACGTACATTAGATTCATTATATATATGACTGTATGTATTCTCTATCTTTTCTAGAAAAGTGTTTGCATTTATTTATGTTATTCGAATTCCCACAGTTCCCAAGGCATTAAAGGGACACTATAGTCACCTGAACAACTTTAGCTTAATGAAGCAGTTTTGGTGTTTAGAACATGCCCCTGCAGCCTCACTGCTCAATCCTCTGCCATTTAGGAGTTAAATCCCTTTGTTTATGAACCCTAGTCACACCTCCCTGCATGTGACTTACACAGGGTTCCATAAACACTTCATGTAAAGAGAGCCCTATTTAGGCTTTCTTTATTACAAGTTCTGTTTAATTAAGATTTTCTTATCCCCTGCTATGTTTATAGCTTGCTAGACCCTGCAAGAGCCTCCTATAAAGGGAGTGCAGAATTATTAGGCAAGTTGTATTTTTGAGGATTAATTTTATTATTGAACAGCAACCATGTTCTCAATGAACCCAAAAAACTCATTAATATCAAAGCTGAATATTTTTGGAAGTAGTTTTTAGTTTGTTTTTAGTTATAGCTATGTTAGGGGGATATCTGTGTGTGCAGGTGACTATTACTGTGCATAATTATTAGGCAACTTAACAAAAAACAAATATATACCCATTTCAATTATTTATTATTACCAGTGAAACCAATATAACATCTCAACATTCACAAATATACATTTCTGACATTCAAAAACAAAACAAAAACAAATCAGTGACCAATATAGCCACCTTTCTTTGCAAGGACACTCAAAAGCCTGCCATCCATGGATTCTGTCAGTGTTTTGATCTGTTCACCATCAACATTGCGTGCAGCAGCAACCACAGCCTCCCAGACACTGTTCAGAGAGGTGTACTGTTTTCCCTCCTTGTAAATCTCACATTTGATGATGGACCACAGGTTCTCAATGGGGTTCAGATCAGGTGAACAAGGAGGCCATGTCATTAGATTTTCTTCTTTTATACCCTTTCTTGCCAGCCACGCTGTGGAGTACTTGGACGCGTGTGATGGAGCATTGTCCTGCATGAAAATCATGTTTTTCTTGAAGGATGCAGACTTCTTCCTGTACCACTGCTTGAAGAAGGTGTCTTCCAGGAACTGGCAGTAGGACTGGGAGTTGAGCTTGACTCCATCCTCAACCCGAAAAGGCCCCACAAGCTCATCTTTGATGATACCAGCCCAAACCAGTACTCCACCTCCACCTTGCTGGCGTCTGAGTCGGACTGGAGCTCTCTGCCCTTTACCAATCCAGCCACGGGCCCATCCATCTGGCCCATCAAGACTCACTCTCATTTCATCAGTCCATAAAACCTTAGAAAAATCAGTCTTGAGATATTTCTTGGCCCAGTCTTGACGTTTCAGCTTGTGTGTCTTGTTCAGTGGTGGTCGTCTTTCAGCCTTTCTTACCTTGGCCATGTCTCTGAGTATTGCACACCTTGTGCTTTTGGGCACTCCAGTGATGTTGCAGCTCTGAAATATGGCCAAACTGGTGGCAAGTGGCATCGTGGCAGCTGCACGCTTGACTTTTCTCAGTTCATGGGCAGTTATTTTGCGCCTTGGTTTTTCCACACGCTTCTTGCGACCCTGTTGACTATTTTGAATGAAACGCTTGATTGTTCGATGATCACGCTTCAGAAGCTTTGCAATTTTAAGAGTGCTGCATCCCTCTGCAAGATATCTCACTATTTTTGACTTTTCTGAGCCTGTCAAGTCCTTCTTTTGACCCATTTTGCCAAAGGAAAGGAAGTTGCCTAATAATTATGCACACCTGATATAGGGTGTTGATGTCATTAGACCACACCCCTTCTCATTACAGAGATGCACATCACCTAATATGCTTAATTGGTAGTAGGCTTTCGAGCCTATACAGCTTGGAGTAAGACAACATGCATAAAGAGGATGATGTGGTCAAAATACTCATTTGCCTAATAATTCTGCACTCCCTGTATGTGATTAAAGTTCAATTTAGAGATTGAGATACAATTATTTAAGGTAAATTACATCTGTTTGAAAGTGAAACCAGTTTTTTTTTCATGCAGCCTCTGTCAATCATAGCCAGGGGAGGTGTGGCTAGGGCTGCATAAACAGAAACAAAGTGATTTAACTCCTAAATGACAGTGAATTGAGAAGTGAAATTGCAGGGGAATGATTTATACACTAAAACTGCTTTATTTAGCGAAAGTAATTTAGGTGACTATAGTGTTCCTTAAATTTAGCTAAATTTCAGGTCCAGGCCATGGAATATCTACAATATACCCCTTTCTGTCTCATTATAGATATCTTTGCCAGAAGCTCAAGAGAGCAAGATGAAGGGTCAGAGTAGGACCCGTAGGTCTGCCTTGACGTTGGCAGGCGGGCATTCCCTCCAGTGGCAATTGGAGTAACTAAATGACCTCCATTTGTTTAAATATACATAGGTATTAAGGAGAGAGCGCAGGTAACTTTTTTCCTTTGGTTTTCTAAAAGGAAATTGCATTTATTTATGTTATTCTAATTCCCACAGTTCCCAAGGCATTAATTTAGCTACATTTCAGGTCCAGGCCATGGAATATCTACAATAAAAGGTGAACATGGGATTAGACTTTTGTTTCAGCAAGATGTATTGAATTTATATATTGTGACACATGGTTATAATTACATAGCAGGTTTATATATAATTCAGAGATTGGGAGGTCCTATCACTCGACACCCAGTATATATAGTTCTAGGTGTCGGGCAGGCAGTTTATTTTTGTCTTTATCCTTGCTGTATGCAGGTTAGAGCAAGGGCAGGGTGCTCCTGGTCTTCAACTTCTCACAAAATAACAATACCTCACTCAAAAGAACAGAATGAATTAAAGAAAAATATATCTGGAGAACTAGTATCCTTGTAGTGCGGATTTATTACAATATTACAAATAGGGCATGCCTGCCATAATAAGCTGCAGTGATATGAATTGTTGCTAACACATCTCTGCACTTGGCATTGAAAAAAAAAAGGAGGGGACGGGGACGGGATGACAAAACCCCCAAACTTAATGAAACTGAGAACATTACATATACATTACATTACACGCAGCCAACAATCACAGACATGCACACATTGTACATAGCCAGCACACACACATTACTCACAGCCATGATACACACTAGAATGACATATGTAAAAACTGTTGGGGACAGCGGGTGAAAAACTCAGGGTTATTCATTAATCTCTACATTTTTGCAAATGAAATCAATATTGGAATAAGGGAGAAACCCGAGAAGTGACCCCTCCTTCTGTTCTCTTCTTGTTGATTGTCTGCCAAACTCACAGTTTCAACTGTGCATGTCCTGCCGACCTAAAGTGCTGCGTGCAGGTTACAGTGATGCAAAATGTAACCATGCCACTGGTAAATGTATCCTGTACACCTCCAGCCTGAGCATCCTCTTACCCACTGAAAAAAACAGCTCCCTATACAACTGCAGCTCTCCTTAATGTTAAATCTGCAGTGTAACACACCCCACACAACATATTTGTGCGTGTGCGATTCATTAGGGGCTTGTATGTGTGTCTCACTGCATGCATTACACTTAAATATACAGTCACAGACATTCTCTGTATCCACAGTCCAGGTAAGAATGCACTTGTTGAAATAATGCAGACACTCACTCCGGTGTGTCTCTAGGAGGGGAGTATGAGTTCCCAGCAGTAAAATTTTGAAGAAAGAACCTGGACATACGAAATGGTATCCAAAAGCAGACTTTATTTAGGAACAAGGAACAGCAACATTTCATCTCAGTTATTTGCCCTTTATCAAGCCTGGATACAGAGTACATTTCACACATATTTATAGCACATAAACAATCACTAACTTGTTAATGTAGACCATGGTCGCGCATTTGGGAAGAGGGCGGAAGGGATTTTGAGCGGCCTGACGTCACTCTTACGTAAGCATCACCGCCATCCTCCCAAAAAAATAAAACAAGGCATGAATATAATGGATAATAAATTGAAGATAGGAGCCTATCTTTAAGAATAGGCTACAAGTCCTAAATAATATATTTTAAAAAATGATCCGGTGATGATGAGCTATAAGAAAGCATGGATCTCTCCCAAATTACATAATTTCTAGATGACGCCATCCACAAGAGAAGTTTAGCCATAAAAACCATCATTGCTAAGTATTCCCCTAATAGCTATCAACGTGTTACATCAAAATGGACAAACTTATATATAACCAATAAGTAACATTAAAAATAGTCTCTATGATAGAGCCTCTGCGATGTCTCCTTTTATGTTTTGGGGAGGTGGTGGTGATGCTGACGTACGAGTGACTACAGTCCACTCAAAGTCACTTTTGCCCTCTCTGGACGCACAACCACAGTCTCCATTAACAAATAATTAATCTAATTTTTTTTTTTGTGCTATGAATACATGTAAAATGTACTCTGTATTCAGCGATCTCCCTTGTTCCTACATAAAGTCTGCTTTTGAATACCATTTCATGTGCCCAGGTTCTTTAAAAAAAAAAAAAAAAAAATAGACATGCACACTGTGTCATGACTGCACAAACACTCTTGACACGTCACATTGTTATATATGCATTACATTATATATGTGTGAGTGCATAGATATATTGCATATAATGCATACTTGCAATTGAAATATTGGAGGGAGTTCTATGTGACAGAGAGCAGTTGCAAGGGTTCAAAGGCAGCAGAAATATTAAGTGCATCACTGTGCGTATATTTGTGTGTATAGAGAGAGAATGTGCATGTGTGTCTATAGCCCGTCGGCCAGAATGTGAGTCAGGAGATAATTAATTGTGGAGAGTATGAAAAATGGCTGCGGCTCTTTAGTGCAACTCTCATCAGGCAACATAGGACGTGTATGTTACTGAGATTTAGAGACCTCGTTATTTACAGTGTCACACTACATTGCACAGTATATAGTCACACTGTGCAGTCAGTACTGGATTTGAAAACATGATCTCACAGTAAAATTAAATATATTTGATTATGCAGTTTACCCATACATTAGAATATAGAAAGTATTTATTACTTCTCTAGCACCAGACGTTTTAAACTATCAATCTTTAGCTTGATGCTGTCCCAAAAATTCCCATTTACAAAACAAACCAGTGCCAGATTGTTGAGGCACAAAAGGGTGAAATAGGTTTATGTGGCTGCGTAATGCCTAATTTCAATTTAATCGGATGTTGCTAGGGGAACCTACACGATAGGAAATTTTAAAGGGTGACAAATTCTGTACATGTCATTCTGGGTGTTTTGTTGAAATGCATTGTTCAGAGCTGCAGTGTATATTGTACCGTTATTTTATTTGTCTTCCTATGGTACATTTCACTATAGTTTGACGTGTGTATTGTTTTGTATTGTAGAGCAGTTGCAAAAAAAATTAAATTAAATTCAGGCTGCCATGCTCAAGAGCTGCTGTGTCTTTCTTTGATACTCTGAAAGAGCAACTAATATTTACTTTCCCCGCAGCTTGATTGTGTACATGAAAAAATTAGGTTTAATTTTTTTAGGCAGAAACAGAGGAATGTAATAAAATGACAACATTCAAGCTCAGTGCACACCCCAAGGGTAGATATATTTTAGGCGTTTTCAACCAATTGATTGTCAAAACAGATACCAGAGATGACTAGGAAATCCCTTGCCTTTTATGTGCCTCTTCATAGTTTTAATATTTATGACTAAAAAAACTAATACAAATATCTGCTTTTATTGTTAAATAAGGCTGTCTATCTTTTTGTATGTCCATACATCCATATATTAGCAAAATTCAATTTACACATATGAACCTCTAGATAGATGTTTGTTGTTGTTTTAACACCTGAACGTTGCCTCTAGAGATATAAAAACAGGGATCTCACACCTGGCTAATGTGTGTGTGTGTAGCAATTTGTAATAAGATCATCTAACCTTACTGTGCAACAATGGATCAATTTGGGACTTGGGATAGCATTTCACACACCTGTGTTATGTCAGAAAGAGTTAGCAGATTGTCTGTACATACAGTCACAGACTGATATTCTTCGTTACCCTCACCAAAGGTTAATTAATGCAATTACTTGATGTAACATCGATCAACTAATTCCCATATAGATTAAATAGTATGTGAGCTTTATATGTCTCTGTGGCACTGCTGCCAGTATCGCATAGAACGGCATGTGATCTATGGTGGAGTAATTATAATTGTTTGGCTGTCATTGGCATATCAAGGTATCAACAAATTGCCTATAAGCCTTAATCTTTTTGCAGTTGGATGACAGGGACAGCATCAGGTTAAGGGGACTGGTGCTGCTCTAGTTATCTGGAGGGTGAAATGTAATATTGTATTATAATTTTTTGAGGTGGGCATTTTGAATGCTTGGGGAGTGGGGGATGGCATGGCGTGGTCTCCAGATCAGAAGCCAGCTGTGTACTGATTCCTCCTCTAATCGCCCGCAGAAAATCCCAGAGCCTCCTCTAATCCTGGGATTATCCAATCAAATCATAATCTCTCTACCTCCCAGCATGCCATGCATCTCCTGGATTACCCACACTGACCCAAGCTTCAATAGACAATACAGAGAAATGGACATTAACTGGATGAACAAGCCAGAAGAAGCTGAATCTACAGGACACACTTGCTCACTTCTTATATTACCCCTCATCACAGCTGCTTATTGCCTGAATGCCTCTTGTTCCATATGTCCTTTTATATATACCACTCTTGACACCTGCTTTGTGTATATGTTGTTCTTGAAACACCTGCCATCTGCCCATATACACATTCACACCTGATCTATGCAAACCTTATCAGCTATCTGGATATGTATTCCTTATCACACCTACTGCCTTCCTTTATATCCCCAAATTCTCCTGTGGCCCACCTAGATACCCCTGAAATACCTGTCTACCTGCACCTACTCACAGCTGCTTGCTGTCTGTATACCTATTGCATACCTGCCTTCTGCCTGTTTATTTTGTAATACTTGCTATTTGCTTAAATACAACTTCTCACAACTGCCCTCCACCTTCATACTCTCAACACACCTGATGTTTGCCTATATACTATGTCAGAATTGCTCAACTGCTTTATATCTGTATAAAACCTTTACAGCTGCCCTCTGCCTGTATAATTCTCACCCAGCTTACTCTTTTTCTACATTCTCGCAATACATATTTTGCCGGGTTCTAATCGTAGCTTCTCTCTACCTATATTCCCCTTATCATGACATCTTTTACTTATTTACCTTTAATTGTGGTTTCTCTCTACCTATATAGCCCTTATCAGGGTATAGCTATACCTATATAGCCCTTATCATGGGATCTCTGTGCCTATATTCCTCTTATCATGGCATCGCTCTACCTATGTAGCCCTTATCATGGCATTGCTCTACCTTTATAGCCCTCATCATGGCATCTCTTCCTATATAGCCCTTATCATGGCATCGCTCTACCTATATAGTCCTTATCATGGCATCTCTCTGCCTATGTACATTTTGTTATGGTTTCTAGTAGCTACCTATATATTTCTTGTAACGGCTTCTCTCTGCCTACATACCCTTAATCTTGCATGTTTATTCTCTGTAATTCAGAGCCTTGAAATGAGCAGAGTGGGGCGCATCATGTCAAGCCTTCCCCTGCTTCGTCTCTTTTAGAAGATTAATGACGAGGGACAGATAAGCTTTTTATAGCAATTAGAAAACAAGCCATGAAGAAATAGGCACAAATACTTGTGTCAGAACTTCCTATAATGAGCCTCCTTCCTGTTTCATTTTATGACTTCCTATCACCAATACCACACCCTTTTCCTGCTATCCTACATTTCCGTTACTCTCTGCCTTGCCCTCCTATCGCTGACACATTACTCTAGCCTTCCATATACATTATATGACCTAATTTCTCAAACATTGACCTTCCCTCCAAGAACTCACATTCTCAACTATCCTCCTCTTGCCTTCAGAACTACCCTCCTGTTACCCTCTCTCCCACATGACCACATTGTATACTCTACAATACAAACCATACCACTACAGTGTATCTCACATAAAACACAGCCCTGCAGAGAATCTTAAATAATTGCTACCCCCACATAATATCTCACACACATTAGCTGTGCCACAGACACAACTGTAAAACATATCAAGTCAGCCATGATAATGGCAGGCCTTATGATTATGCTCCATATTAGCCATGTCAATGCAAGAATTTAAAGGGATACTATATGCATCAAAACAATGTTAGCTTAAAGGAACACTAAAGGAACACAAACATGTATTCTTGACCCTAGAGTGTTAAAGGGATTCTCTAGTGCCAGGAAAACAAACCCGTTTTCCTGGTACTGCAGAATCCTCGAGTGCCCCCCTTCCTCCTGCCCCCCATCCCACGTCACTGAAGGGGTTAAAACCACTTCAGACACTTACCTGAATCCAGCACTGATGTCCCTCCTCCTTTTTCCTCCTTCTGACACCTCTGACACCTGGGCACAGCTTCCACCGTCTAGAAGTGTCACTCCCCCAGTCATCACCATTGACGGCTGCAGGGAATTGGCTCTGTCTATGGAGGATCCCGTGGTCTCATAAACCTTAATTCTGTATTTTCTCGCATGCATGAGAGTACAGATGTGACTCCAGCTCCTGGCACTTAACAATAATGTGTAATAATAATGGTGGCGGCGCCCGCAAAGGACAGGTTCAGGTAAGTTAAACTCACCTTTGTCTGCCTGCGACCACAGGGCCCCCAGTGGTGATGTCACAGTCAGGGGGTCTACAAATTATGCAAAGTCACTAGATGGTGAATGTGCCAGTTTAGCAGAAGATAAGAAATTCTAAATTAAACAGAATGTGCAACAAGGAAAATGTAAATATGATTTCTCTCTTTACATGAAGTGTTTAGGAAAGGTGTGCCAAGGGCTGCTTAAACAATGCGATTTAACTCCTAAATGGCAGAGAATTGAGCTGTGAGACTGAAAGGGGCATGATCTATACACCAAAGCCACTCCATTAAGCTAAAGTTGTTTTGGCGCCTATAAAAAATTCATTAACCCATCCGGCTGTGAATGTAGGGGTTGTAACCATTCTTCTGCCAGAATTGAATAACATCTCATCTAAATTAAATTGTTAGTCTGTCCACAGTTAATCTTTGTGTCTCTGTATTTAAACTTGTTAGTCACCCACTACCTATATGCTATGTGCACACAGTGTTTAGAGCTGCAGAATATGCTGGTGCATAACTTCCAAATCGCAGAACATCTCATACTAAACCCATATCTTAAGGGCTTTTCATACTCACCATATACCTTCCAGATCGGCAGAACATAGCATATAAAGCATGTATTCCTACAAAATATCTCTTATAAACCATATCCTTCCCAAAACTGTAGAACATCTCATATAACTGTGTATATCTCATATAACCGAATACTGCATATTGATTGCCTATCTGAATCTTTCATACTAGCCATATTCCTTCCAGATCAGCAAACCCGCTCATGTTAACTTTAATCAACCCCACACCATCACAACATCTTAGATTATTTTTAACCTCAGACCAAAAAAAAAAACCATTGCATATAAACCTTAATTGTCCAAGACCCGCAGAAAATCTCATAGAAACAAAACGACCCCTGGCCTGCAGAACGTCTGAATTTATCAATATTTGCCAAAACTTGCAGAACATTTAGAAGGTAGAACAACCTCTGCTGGTAGAGTTCTCCATAAACTGTGGCTACAGTAATGTGTTTGCTTTGACTGTTTAAGAGCTGGAAGGAAGGATTAATTGAGGCGAGAGTTTATGTGTCAATTCCCAGGCCGGATCTATCCATGGAACTGGCACAGATGGTGTGCCTCATCGGAGACATAGTCCTTCCAAAGTGATGACACTTACACAAGCAAGGGGTAATAATAGTCAGCTATTTTTACACCTTTACCAGAAGAGAAACAGGTTCAATGAATCTTAGGTAAAAGATTTTTACCTTTACAGGAACCATCCGTGGAATCATTCTAATTTTAACCCCTGCTAACACTAATGATGCACAGCGCTGCCAAGCAGGCTAATAATTGAATAATAAAGATTAATATGTAGTAAACAAGATCACTTACCCCTGGCAGGGTCTTCTGCTCATGCAGGGCACTCTGGGCTTTGAGTGCAGACTCTCGGGCACAGTACGTGAGGAAAGCGCATCCTACAAGAATGGGAACATATGAGGGTCTGCAGTTAACTAACAATTAAATGCAGATTTAAATTGTTATAGATATACAACATAAAGTGGCATAAGTTCAACAATAAAAACATAAATAGATTTGAACAAATATACAATATAAGCTGTCATAGATTCAATAATGTACACATATGCATTGTAAACAGTACATGTACATTGCTAAGCTAGTGTAGGTTCCACAGGTATACAGATAGAATGTAAACTTCCACAGACTCAAAAGGTGCACAAGCACAATATCAACTGGCATGGCAACCAGTGGTGTGCCGAGCCTCCCAAATCTCTCAGGTCCTCTTTTCCTGTGAATAGAGATTTCCAAATATTCCCATATTGTTAGTGTATTTTATTTATAAGAAGAACAGATCTGCAGAACCATAAAGAGGTAAAATGATCTCTAAACCGGTTGCTGCTAGCAGTCGGAATGCCCAGGGAAACGTTAACATTCTTTAATCTATTAATTTCTTTTTATATAACTTCCCCTAATTGTGTGCATCTTGGGGTTAGATTTTCAGAATTGTTAGATAGGATCAGTACTGTAAAGCGCTGCATTGTCAGAATGAATCAAGACAATATAGATCTAACTATAAATTATGAAGAAGCAGAGTGCGATGTGTTTCAGGGGGTAACCAGGTGACAAATACAAGACAAACAATTAATACATTATGAATTAAGGCCCTGCGTGCAAGTGAATTCCACCCAGAGGTATGCAGCCAGTGGATGTGTCTAGATCATGTTTAATGTATTAGATATGTCATTGGATGTGTGGATATGTCATTTTGATGAGGGGTACTGTGCTAACACTATGAGAGATTGAACCACAGATAGGGTGTTCAAAAAGGGGAAGTGAGAACATGAGAGTTCTTTAGTAATGTAAATAGAAAAGCAAGGGGTAACCATATTAGACGGTTATGGGTATTAGTTAACATGTGGCGAGCTAAATTTCACATGAGGGTGACATGTACTGTGACATAGTAGATACATGGTCAGGTAAGATGAAAAAAGAATCAATCCCATCAAATTCAGCCTTTCCTATATCTGTCCTCCTGCTTTTGATCTAAAGAAGTGATTTCCAATTTTGCCAAATAATGTCTAAAAACCTAATGTTTTCTCCTTGGATCAACAAGATATCACCCCATATATAAACTGTTATACCCTTGAATATGCTTCACGTTTTTTAGAGCAAATTGCATTCAAGAGCTTGCCTGCTCCTATTGACCTACAACTCCTCTAATGCTTAATTAGATTCTGACAGGGTCTGGTGGAAATTAAGATATGTTTCTAATGTAATCCGATAGTTAGGCAAGCACTTGCTAAACAGGTTATTTGAAATATAAGTCCAAGCAACCTTGTCCAATGTTTGGCTGAGCCTGATGAGAATGTTAGTTCACAATAGCTTTATAAAACTATACATCGTAGAGACTCTTCTCCTGCCATGGCTAGAGCGTTTCTAGGGCCCAGCAAAAATACAGTTTTAGTCAATGATTTTGTTTTACCAAACAATTAATTATATGCATTAAAAGAAAACTGCAGCTTAAAGTTTTAGTCCAACAACCATGACCACTTCAGTGGTTTAAAATGGTCCTGGTGGTAGGAGTCAGTATGTGCAGTGTTTCAACTTGAGAGAAACCCCCAGCATGTGCCATTGGCATCAAAGAACATTTAATGTCTGTTGTCACCCTCCGCCCCTGTGGGAGCTCCCTCCCACTTTCCTCCATTGCCGGCAGTTTTTTGTTTTTTTAAATACCCTCCCTCCTTTCACCTCCCCACTTCGTCCCTCTGATTCCCAACAGGCTTCTCTATAAGAAGCCTGTGATTGGATTGCACACAGCCCCATTGACATCTTGGGGGGGGCGGAAGGCTGCGCCCGTAACTTTGTCTGCCGTTGGATTCCAGGTGAGTACAAAACACTTTTTTTCCAGGTTTTAGAAGAATTGAAGCGGATTAAAGTAAACTTTTAATGTAGTGGTTATGGTGTCTATAGCATGTCCTTGCAGGCTTTTCAATGTAAACACTGCCTTTTCAGAGAGGGGACAGTAATCTATACAGTTAGTTTAACACTACAGGTATTTCTCACGTTATGAACTCTCGCTTTATGAACTCCCGACTTTATGAACTTTTTTCTGGATTTGCCGCCATTTTGTTTCACCGACATTTTGTGTCAGTGGTCCACGGATCAGGTCCGAGAAGAGTGCTTTTGAGCACAAACAAGAAGAGAAGAAGAAGAATTTGTGGTCAGGAGTAGACAAGAAGAGAGATGAGGATCAGGAACACAGTTCCTGAATATAAAGTGAAGTCTAAAAACAGATTTAGATTGTACTGTATTCTTTTTGTGTTTTCATGTTGATACATTGCAGATCCTTTAATATTATTGCACTGTGTGCTATTGAGTATAGATTTGACTTGATTTGTCTGACATAGCTGTCTGTGTGTATGTGTGTTTGCCATTGTGCCATGTTTTGGCAGGCAGCAATAGTAAGGAGCAGGAGAGGGCTGAAAAAGGGGAGAAGGAAGAAAGTTTGAGAGCTGTAAAAATAAAAGGAGTAAGAGAAAAGTTCTAAAAAAGAGATGCAAGCTTGAAAGTAAGAGAGGAGAAGGAGGAGAGTTTAAGAGCTGTAAAAATAAAATGAGTAAAAGAAAAGTGATAAAGGAGAGGGGGAAGCTGGTAATGAAGAAAATGAATAAGTATGAGGGTTTAAGAGAGGTGCCCCCATTCAACAAGTGCAACATGTGTCTTCATTGAATAGTATGATGATTGATGATAATTTGATGAATGTTTTTTAATATGGTATGTATGCCTTTAAAATTAATTCGACATACAAGTATTTGCTATGCTTTCATGTTGTATCTGTACTTACCTGTAATAATTTAGGTTTTCAGTGGTAAAATTTGTTGGTCAGGAACGGAACCCGTGTTTATTACATTGTGTCTATGGGAAATTAGTTCTCACTTTATGAACTACGCTTCGGAACCAATTCGTACGTAAAGTCAGAAACTACCTGTATAGTATTAGGAATACATGTTTGTAGTTAACAATTTTTTTCCTTTTGTCCCTTAACAAATATCACTTTTGAACACAGAATTTTTTTAACCTTTAAAGAAATATATAAATGTATGGATTCTTTTAGGATTGTTTATTGATATGCTTAAAAGACTATCCCCCTTACTCCCGTAGTCACTAATCTACACTGAAAATAAATCAGTAATGTTTAAGAAAAAAAACAACAACAATTATATTATTATGTTATTATTTATATAGCGCCAACAAATTACGCAGCACTTTACATGTCATGATTCCCTTTTATTCCAGAAGTTTGATCCTTAAGGGGTTAGGGACATGTAGTTTCCTAGGAGCTCTATACACATGACAATTAATAAATGGGGAGCTCTGTACACATGAAAAAAACTTGTGATATCTACAGCAAGCTCTGTACACGTGAAAAATGATAGATGTTGAGCTCTGTACAAATGAAAAATACCTGTGAAATCTGGGGAGCTCTGTACACATGAAAAATAACTGAGATATGGGGAGCTCTGTACAGATAAAAAAAATCACAGATATGGGGAGCTCTGTACACATTATTATTATTATTATGATATTTATAGTGCGCCGTCAAGTTCCGCAGCGCTTTACAATGGGTGGACGAACAGACATGTAGTTGTAACCAGACAAGTTGGACACACAGGAACAGAGGGGTTGAGGGCCCTGCTCAATGAGCTTACATGCTAGAAGGAGTGGGGTAAATTGACACAAAAGGTAAGGATAGTAGTAGAATAATGATAGTTGCAAGAGAGGAATCAGTCGGGAGCTATTAACAATTTAATTGATACGCTTTTATAAAGAAGTGGGTTTTGAATAATTTTTTGAAGCAGTGGAGACTGGGTGAGCATCTAACAGCGGAGGGAAGTGAGTTCCACAGGAACGGTGCAGCCCTAGAAAACTCTCGAAGGCGCGCATCAGAGGTGGGAGTACGGAGAGAAGATAGACGTAAGTCTTCAGCAGAGCATAAGGGCCTAGACGGGACATACTTGTGTATTAGGGAGGATAGATAGGTGGAAGCAGCATTATGTAGAGATTTGAAAGCAAGAACCAGAATTTTAAATTGAGTCCTATATCTTACAGGAAGCCAATGTAGGGACTGACAGAAGGGTGAGGCGTGGGAGGTGCGGGTGGACCGGAAGATGAACCTCGCCGCTGCATTCATTATGGACTGTAACGGCTTAAGTTGGGAGCACGTAAGACTACTGAGAAGCGGTTTACAGTAGTCAAGGCGAGAAAGGACAGTTGACCAGCACCTTAGTCGCATCTGGCGTTAAGTAGGGTCAGATGCGCGCAATGTTTTTGAGATGGAAGCGGCAGGATTTGTCGATAGATTGATCATGAGGCGTGAAGGAGAGTTCGGAGTCAAAGAGAACACCTAGGCAGCGAGCCTGTGTGGTGGAGCTGATGGTAGCAGCATTAACTTGGATGGAGACAGACACAGGAGTAGCAAAACTTGAATTGTAAAAATTTCCCCAAGTCAGCTGTGTATTCAATTCGGCTGTTTGGACCTGAGATTTATATCCCCTTTGAATTCACTTTCAAACAATTTGTATTCCAATGAATACCTTTATTCCCTGTGGTCTGTATTTGTCATAAGATGACTAGGCCCAAAACGCAGAACTTAGGTCACAACAAGCAAAGGTAGGGAATAGAAATGGACAGAGGCATATTAAAGTTGGCCAGGCATAACGCTAAGAGGGAGTAATAGCACCTGTGGAGCAGGTCAGAGCAAAGTCAAGAGCAAGCAAAGGTCGAGGACAACAGAATGTAACAATAACGGATACAGAAGCCAGGGTCAAGGATTACGGAATAGTGAATGGTCAAGGACAAGCTGAAGTCAGAATACCAGGAATCACTACTAAGATCACTAAGTATCTCATTATACAAGAGCGGATACTCTCTTGTATAACCACAAGGAAAACCACAACAAGGCAAAGCAGACAATGCAAGGAGGGCTTAAATAGGTTTAGGAGTTCTGTAATTGCCAATCCTGCAATGCCAAGTGGTCCAGGGCCGATTTTGCTGAAATTATGTAGATAGAAATTTTAACAACATAAAATGACAAGTTTGGAACAACCAGCATCAAAATTGACGCCAGAATAATGCGGTTAAGGAGACTTACACCAGACTGACGCAGGTGTTAGGAATGGGTGGCAGAATGATGCGCAGATCTAACAGGTACCATGACAGTGTTACCATTTAAAAGGACACTCTAGATAATATAACAACTTATTGCTGTGGTTATATTCCCTGGTGCCATCCTCAATTAAATGTTACATTGTTTTTAAATAGTTTAACATTGAACGAGGGTTCCGGCTGCCTGCAACACAGTCCCCATCTTATGTATGGCTAAGGCAGAAATGACACACCGCCTTTGCTATTCAAATTCATACAAGCAGTGGGCAACTGTTACAGCCTGCGAGTGGTCAGCTGATACTCTCCATAAATCACTGCTGCCGATCAATGTTTGGAGTAATTTGAAGGTTGGGACCCTCATTTAGTGTTAAACCATTCGAAATATGACTGATAGTGATGTCCCGAACGGTTCGCCGAACGGTTCGCCGCGGATTCATCATTGAGTAAACTTTGACCCTGTACCTCACAGTCAGCAGACACATTCCAGCCAATCAGCAGCAGACCCTCCCACCTCCTGGACAGCATCCATTTTACATTCATTGTGAAGCTGCATTCTTAGTGAGCTGTCCAGGAGGTGGGAGGGTCTGGGAGGGAGAGTCTGCTGCTGATTGGCTGGAATGTGTCTGCTGACTGTGAGGTACAGGGTCAAAGTTTACTCAGTGATGAGTCCGCGGCGAACCGTTCGTGGCGAACCGTTCGCGATCCGTTCGGGACATCACTAATGACTAAACATTGAATGGAAGGAAGCACCAATAATATCCATGCACTATAACCACTAAAATTAAATTAAATAGTTACCGTATAGTGTCTAGAATGTCGGTTCAATTTCTTACATCATGCCACTTCCCAATACTTAATTTTTATTTGGTAAACAGAGAATTGTGGTTTTTATGACTAAATTTCAAAATTTAGGCTAAAATAGGCAAGTTGGAAAAAGAGGTTGGTCAATTTTAGTCTATAATTTGAAATTTCGGTTACAATTTACTGAATAAACCCTAGCGAGTCAGCCATGTTGAACATTGCTGTGGACACCTGTAAATACATGTTTTATTCCTATCTTTCTTATGCTGGTTGGAATCCCTAATCATGTCTGTTAGCGATACGATAAATATGTATGTTCATGAGATACATAGATTATGGGCTGTGGTTTGATGTATAGATCATAAATTGAATCACGAACTATGAAGCACTGACAAAGAATTTGCACATTTTTTACCACAGAGCTGTGCTGGAAAAAACGAGATGGAGATTTTCTTTATCCAGTTTTGCTCTTTTCTATCCTAATTTTAGATAATCCATGCTATGAACATAGAAACATTGATTGTAACAGCAGATAAATGCTGCTCACCCAGCTACTATGAAAGGCTCCTGTTTATTTTTTGATTTTGTTTCATGTTGAACCCAGTCTTTTATCTACCCCAGGAACATATATCTATCTTCTGCCTTCACATCTATGGGATAGTTAACTATATAGCAGTTATACACCTTCTAACAAGTATTTCTAATTGTTCTTACCCTCTTACTTCCTAGAATGAATCTATGCCACCTTATTTGTATTGACAACACCTGCTTGTTGTATGATTACCTTTATATATCATTCCTTATTCCCCTCAGTCTAATACACTTTATCATATACCCCTCTCCCATCTCTTCTCCATGCCACACGTATTAAGGGCTTTCCATTTGATTATCATATCCCCCTCTCCCTTCTCTTCTCGATCACTATACCTATTAACAGCTTTCAACCAATATTTCTCCCCTTTCTTAAAACTCTCCTATATATCCTCCCAGTTTAATTCATGTAAATTATATCCCCCTTTTCCAAGTTTTACACATAAGAATGCTTTCTATGATACATTTTATGTGAAACAGTTTATTGTATCGTCCACTTCATTTTCTCTTCCATCATATACATATTAAAGGCTTCCAGTGTAATATGTTTTATTATATCCTCTATTCCCTTCTCTCCTAACTGTAAATATCAAGGATTTTTGGTCTGATATGTCTTATCACACCCCTTCTCCCTTTCCTCCTCCAAACTATAGATATTCAGGGCTTTCTCTCCCTTTGCCTTCTTTCTTTCAATTACACGTATTAAAGTATTCAGTCTGATGCACGTTATATTTCCTTCTCCTTTCTTTTTTACAAGCGATACGAATTTAAGACTTTCGGTCTGATACATTTTATCACATCCTTCTCTTCATCTATCATCCAGCTAAACATTATAAGGGTTTTCAGTCTATGTTATATCATATCCTACTCTCTCTTTTCTCCTCCATCATATCTCTCTCGCCCATTTTTTAAAATAAGATATACATATTAACAAACTTTCAATCTTAAATATGTTTTATCATATCCCCTTATCCCCTTCTCTCCTTTGAGCTACACATATTAAGGCCTGTCAGCCTGATGATATTTTATTATATTTCCCTCGCTTCTCTACTCCATGCCATACATGTTAACGACTTTCAGTCTGGTGTGTTTTTATCACATCCCTTTCTCTGTTCCAGGTTATACGTATCAAGGGCTTTCAGTCTGGTATATTTTACATTAAGGACATTCTGTTTGTTGTGTTTTGGCATATAACCTCTCCTTAATCCCCCCATGCTATACATATGAAGGGATTTTGATGTTATACTGTCTATCATATATCCCATATCATGCCACTCTTCTGTGCCATATATTTCAAGAGCATTTTATCTGATATTCTATACAGAATAAGTGTTTTTCGTAATATGCTTTTGTTTATTTTTTTTCCCTCTGTTTCATATCCCTTCTTCCATATTTCCTCCCAAGCTCTAAAAGGGATTCCGTGTTAAATATTTCACTATATCCACTCTCCTTGCTATACATATTAATGTATACATGCTGACACATTTCAACAAATTCCCTCTCTTTTTCTCTTCAAGCTATACATACAAAAGGCTTTCAGTCTGATACATTATATCATATCATCCTCTGTCCTCTCTTCAAAGCCTCGTCTCCCTGAAATTAAAGAGAAGTCCAATGACTCATTCATAACCTTTAACTTAATCACTGAACACATAATTTTAGGTATCCCGTGCAAATGTTGCTAAAGGTTTTTTTCCCTACATTTTATGGTGCCCACTTTAATTCCTCACTGAGGATACCTAATATGGCTGCCTTTGCAGAATAGTACACATCACACTGGTACACAGTACACACCCACATATAACCTGTACAGGGCATACTCTTGGAATACTAACATTGATATGGCATATGTTGATGGCTGCTTGTGCATGAGTGATAATGGATACACACACTGGTAGCAGTAGCATCATCAGATGTACTATTTAATTGCAATAATACAAGAACAGTACAGGCATAGTTCACCTGACTACCATCATAACAGGGCCTGTTCACACCCTCGTCTTCTGTTCCACATGCATTTATAGTATACTAATTTTTGTTGTGAATATTTACTGAGAAGGGATGGAAGTCAGGCTGAAGGCAGATACTGGCATTCTGCATGGATAATAATTCAGAGCATTTATTTAGGATTGAAGAGGAGGAGGTTGTACGCCTACTCTTTTATTTCCCTTGATAGATTATCATGTGTCTGCATTGGGAAATTTAAATTCAGACATGGAAAGGCTGCAGACCGCTCATTACCCTACTAGAAATAGAGTGTCTGGCTAAAACTAATAGGCTGATGTATCTCAGTAAGCACACAATCACAGGACATAGGTGTGATAACAACAGCATCTGATAGGACAGGGTCCTGAATGTGTTAGGACATGTGATTGGTAAATCTCCTTTGGCCGTGTTTTTTTGTACATGTGCAACACTATAACTTGGCATCCAACACCAGGGTATTGTTGACTTACTACCCAAATTATGAAGACAAAGATGGCTTGAAATCTAATACATTGGGATGCAAGGTACTTCTTATAAAGATAGCACTTTAACATGCTCTGTAGCTAGAATTCAAGAGGTACTGTATTAGTTAGATAAAGTCTACCTCTGGCCTGTGTTTTTAAATTAAGTCAAGTGGCTGGGAAACTAAGAACCTCTCCTTCATTTTGATAACACCCCTCACATCTTTACTTTCCAACCATTGACACACAGTGATTCCTTATGTCCCATTGGCATTGGTAGGATCAATTTAGTTTATATCTCTGCAAAAAAAAAAGTATTAATAAATTAAAATAATATTTGACACCACATTTGCTGGAAGTCTTGCAAACAAAGTATGGTGTGAGCTGATGTCTAAGCATTCAAAGGGTAACAATTAATTGCTTTTAAAACATGTTGATTTGCTGTTATCAGTTGCCTGAAATGGGCTGTTATCCATCATTCCTGTGTGTAGTGGGTTAACGATAAGCCAATTAACAGATCGTTTCAGCCCATTAATAGAGCATTTGTGCAGCCTTCAGGGTCCTAATAAAAGGGAAATCATTTCAGGATTAACATAGATATGGCAGGTGTTTGGTTCAAAATTCCCAAATCCCACCTCCTGTGGGCAATTCTGTTTTCAATCTACACAGAACATACACTGTAAAATCAAACTAAAATGGTTTCCTTAAATTGGAAACACCGTGCATTTATTTTGTATAATAGTATTTCATACATTTAATATACAATTGTAACAGATGCAAGTCATCTAAGCAGCTGGAAATATGAGCTTGCAATTTATTGGTATGGGAAAACATGTCACTAGAGGTTGCAGATGTACTAATAGTGTGGCGTTTCTGCCCCAAATGGCTTACAATCTAAAGATTCTTGCCATCTAGTTGAGTAATAGATGACCCTGTATTTGGGAGTTTTCAGTATCATGTAATTATGTTTTAATATGATCCAAGAACGTTACAGTCTATTAGCATAATGGATGAGCTGTCCCGAGGAGCTTACATTTAAACTGCATAATTTGAAATGGTGTTCCAAGGAACATGTAACTTGTTGTATTGCATTATGGGACCCATTTAATTGTGTGAGACCCTGCCTCCCAGAAACTAAATACTAAAGTTATGTAATGGGAGACTTTGTCACAATGACTGTAAAATCTAACAGAATAAAGCGAGACTGTGACCCAAAAAGCTTACATTCTATAAGTATTGTAGAAGTCCCTGTCCCAAGCAACATGAGGTCTAGTAAAATTATGTAATAGTCTTATTCAACAAGCTTACAACCTAGCAGTTTAGTACACAGCCCTGTCACAAGGAGCTTATAGAGTTATTGGTAAGGACAACAGGACAGGGTATACCATTATATTACCACACTAGTAATAGCCAATGTGCCCCAAAAGCTTGCAGTTAACCAGTTTAGTTTATCAGCAGGGGGATTCTAGACTTTTAATTACAGGTGGAGGTAATGTGTTAATGCACAGTTAATTTCTACAACATACAAGCCGTGTGATGGTGACAGAGTAAAGGGATAGCCTTCTGTTTATCCAGAGATTTAGGCCTATGATGTCCTTGTAAGCAGCACTGTTTGACAAGACTGGGCTGGCTTCGCCCCTCTGTTAACAGCACCTCCCTCTCTCAGTTCAGCTTAACCACTGTTGGTTCATTAAGTGTTCCTTGATCTTTTTGTCCTCCCCCATTCCCTGCCATCTGTCACAGCATCTTCTTCACATATCACACAACACCTCCCCCCACCTCTTTAAACATACAGCATTTTCCACCTTTCTTCAGCAAACATGGATGTGGCTTTGCAATAACATTTAATTCAAAGTATATTCTGTCATGTAGCCCTGAACCAAAGAATTACAGTCCCTTCACTACTCTCCATGATTCTTCATCTCTGAACTTGTAGATATTTCTGCCTAATCTCCATTTACTATCCCCAAGAATTTATATCTCTCTGGCTTCCCATTTCCCTTACTTCCAATCTCTGTGACTCCACATCTCATCAACATCTTCCCCAAATCTCAGCCTTCCAGGCCACTTTATAGTGATATGATATGTTAGCTCCATCTCCCTGGTTACAGCTACCTCAACTTGTTTTATATCTCAGACAATGTTTCCACTATCTCTAATCTCCACCCTTTATCGCCCCAATTCTGCATCTCTTTTATGGACATTGACCTGATTTTTAAACTCCTCTTCACCCTGATTACTCCCCTGTCCATCACCCTGACTCTACTTTCGCATTCTCCATCTCTCTATTTCCCTGACTCATCCCCCCTGACTTTTCATCACCCCACCTTATTATCTGTTCAAAACCATTCTCCATCTCTCTCTTATCCTTTCTAAAATACTATTGACTCTCCATCTCCCTGATGTTGTATTTTATAGACTAATTTCTGCTCCACAGTTCTCCACACCCTTTCTGACTCTGTATGTAACTTATAATCCATAACCCACACTCTACTCTCTGTGTCTTCATCACTGTGAGTTCCCATCTCCATGACTCTGCATTACCCTGGTATGCTGACTGTCCATCCTTCTGTCACCCTGACTGTTTGTCTCCCTGGCCTTCTTTCTATTTTACAGTCCAATTTGCAAAAGAATTTCTGACACTCTCTCCCTGTAACTGTCTACTCATCACTCTTTTCTATTTTTTTGTGATTTACTTACTTGCTTGCATTTTTCTGTCCCACTTAAAAATCATATCTACCCTTTCTTTTCTCTCACCTTGGATTTTCTGACCACTATGACCTTTCTATCTGGTATTTTTACCTTCTTTGTCCCCACACCCTAACTATATTACAGCCTTCATCTCGGATACTCTATTAGCTCTTTAGTATTTCTTTCCTCAAATATAAAATAATTTCTCTTATACCCTTTCCGTGGTCTCTTTTCTTCCTTCCCTCTTTTCCTGACTACAAGCCATGCTCCCCTTGTCACAGTCACTACTTCCAATGTCCCATTTAGTCATCCTCTCCAAATCATCCCTACCTTCCTTAATATACTCCATGATTATACAGACCTTTTCCCATCTTTATTTTAATCCCATGTCTCCTATCCATTATTCACTTCTTAACAGTGCCCTCCCCGTCTCCCTTTTCATAATTGTTCCCATGATTACATTTACTCCATCATTTAACCCTATGTTCCTCTTGACAATTCCATGTGAAACCCATGTCACACTCCCCCTATTCCTAGTGCATTGCATGCATTCCCCATGCCACATCTTCACACCCTTTAGTCTCCTTCATGTCCCACCTTTGCCTCATACCCATTATCAACCTTAGTTCAGTCCCATTCCATCTAATCATCAGTTTTCTGAACTCTCCCACAATTCTAGTTGCCTTCCTTTTCATTTTACCCCATCTCAATGTACACCTCACGTCTTCCTTTAGTTCTCACACTTTATCTTACCTATGCCCTTTCCTTTACAGCAGGACCCCACTTTTCCAATGTCATTCACTTATCAGTATCCCATTGGTTTCATACCCCCTTCTAAGTGTTACATGTCTCCTATATCACCCTATTTGAGCATCCCTTCTCACACAGGACCCTGTTCTTGGCTGTAGTTTGTCCCATTACTCCCATTCCCAGATTTCCTTAACCCTTTCACTTCATCTTCCCACTCCATAACCAATTCACAGCATCCACTATCCCTGTGAAATTCCCAGCACCAGGTTTCCCCAAGGCCCCTTTCACAAATTACAAACTCCTCAATGACCTTTTGACAGCATCCAGTCTCCCCAGGGCCCTTTTTCAGCATCCTCTCTCCCCCATGACCCCCATAACGGCATCCAGACTCTCTCTCTCTCTAATGGCCATTTTGTTAGCTTTCTATCTTACAACCCCATGTACCCCTTTTTCAGCATTAATTCTTCCACCTACCTCATACACAGAACCCAATCTACCAGGACCTTTTATGTGCATCAGCTATTCCCCAATAAACCCCTACGTTGTGACCCTATTTTCAGCACCCATTCTCTCCTGTGCCCACTTTTTCTGCATCTTTTCTTCCTATAAACCCATTCCCAGCACACAATATTCTAGTCCATAGCCCCAGCATCCAGTCTCCCCCTGCACCCCAATAAACCCCATTCTGAACAGCCATCAACCTAATGGAACCCTCTCATAACATTTCATTTCCCCCAGAACTAATTTTTCACATCCAGTTTTCCTCTGACCTCTTTCACGTGATTAATTTTCCCCCATGGACTTTCATAGCATCCATTCTCCCCTAGGACACCTTTCTTTCCACTCTCCCCATGACACCCTTCACATCATTCATTATTCCCAGGGCCCCCATTCTGAGAATCCATTGTCCCCTGTGACCCTTTCTCAGCATCTTTTCTTTCCTATAATACCTTCTCCCATCACCCTATTTGCAACATAATTCACCCTTTTACCCCCCTCCCCATTCACACCCCTGCTTTTACCTTTGTGCATCCCTGTAAATTTATCCTTGATGACTGTAAGTTCATAGATTTTTCCAAACTGCTCGAAGATTGGCTTGAGGTCCTTCTCCTCCAGGTTCCTGGGAATTTGCCCAATAAAAAGTTTGATAGCATCTGGTTCCTTCATTGGGGCGAGGTGGGTATAGGGGAGAGGGACACAGAAGGCACTTGAGTCCAAATAAGCAGGCTCCCACTGCCCAGCTGTAGATGTCCCTGGTACCCAGAGTCTAAAGGTGCCACCCCGTTCAGCCTGTCCTGATGGGTAGGGGGTATTCCTATCCCCCTGGTACCAGGTAGGTGCCACTCTCCACGCTGGGTATTTGATAAGTGCCAGGCCAGCCAGTGAAGGGTCCCCTGCTCTACCTTTAGGAATGATGCCGCTTGCAGGGTAGTTAATTAGTATATTGATCCCACAGACTGTGGATGGAGAGTTAAATTCTTCTCACTGTCTTGTGTTTTTTTGGGGGGGAGTTATTGATCCAGACCTCTTCCCCCCTCCTCTGAACACAGCTGCTTCTCCCTTTAGTGGATCTTGAGGTCTGATACAAAATCTTTTCTTTCTCAACAACTGCCCCCTCCCTCCCCTGCCCAAAACCCGCCCCAGCCTGACAGGAATGATGTCAGAGTGAGGGGCCGGGGAGAAAGCTACATTTGTGTGCAGAAACGTAGAATAAACCTGGCAATCGAGGATGTAATCTGTACTTTTAGACAAACTCGGGGGCGACTATTCTGGACTGCCAATCCCATTACTCACAAATCCACTCATTATTAGTATTGCGTATAGAAAGTAAATGCTTATGCTATTTATTAACTCTTTAATAGATGGTAGCTTTACTTCATCTTACAGCCTTGCTGTGTTGAACCCTGGCAACCTGGGACCCTGGCAACCTGGAAATTAGGGTAAACCACCCCTCCACGTTACTGCTCACAACTCCCTCTATTCCCCAAGTATTGCACAGCTTGCAGGGCTGCTGTAAAGATGTTGCGAGCCCATAAAGCTAGAGCTCTGAAATTATTAAATGGGCTTCCAGTCTCATTTCTACTGAAATGCTGATATAAATCCCATTTAAAAGTGCATGCATGTCATATCTACTGAGCACAGGAGGGAGTGGGTTAGTCCCTGGATGATAAGATTGCACACACCTGCTAGGGGAGAAAGGGGAACGACCCTTAGCAGGTGCTGCCAAGATAATTTTTCTTGTTGGTAAAATCGGATGCTTTTTAGATGTTCCCTGGCTTGGCCATTGTTCTGTTGCTCTCCTTGGTGCTGAAACTCACAGACTGGGGGAGGGGAGGGACAAGGTGTGTGTGTGGGTAGGTGGGGGGTGGTAGGCTGTGCACAAAGGAGGCACAGAGGGGGAAATTTCACCAGTTCCCAATTACATTCTATCCGTGCTGGGAGTAGCAGGCGGAGAGTGGGACGGCAAAATCTGTATATTCGGAATGCAGATTGCAATGCCTCCTGGTATACTGAGCACTGTCCATGGTACTACTATATCTGTTCGCAGTCAGAATGTAAGGAAACTGCTGGAGGCTCTGTGCCAAGAGAGTCCTCAGTTGCCGGATATGCTTATTCAAAAATTACAACCAATTAGATTGTATGCTCCCTTGGGCAAGGTCTCCTGTTATGACACTAAATTGCAAGTTCCCTAATTAAGGGTCTGCTGCTATATCACCCGAGCAGGGCTATGCAACCCTTGCCACTCCAGATGTTGTGGACTAAATGCCTTTGATGGTTTCCATTATGGCTGTGAGAGGATTATGGGAGTTGTAGTCCATAAGATCTGGAGTGCCGAAGGTTGCATACCCCTGCACTCGATTGTCTGCTCTTTAGGACAGTGTCCCTCTTATTATACAGCAAATTAGTACATTAGTTAGGACAGGGATTTCCATTGTAACACTCATTATAAGCTATTTGTATTATTCCAGTAGATTGTAAGCTCCTTGGGACAGGGTCTCCCAATATACCACTACATTGTAAGTGCCTTGAAACAGGGCCTGCCTTTATACCTCAGATTGTAAGCTCTTTGAGATGGGGTTTCCCATGATATGACTGCATCGTAGGCTTTGTGGAAGAATGACTCATATTATTCTGTGAGACAGTTTGCTTCTCAAGTCTGATTTCTTTTAGATTGTTAGCTCCTCTTGGTAAAAAAGTTTGTCATTATAAAGATTGTTTACAAGCTCCTTGAGACAGTACCTCTGACTCCCATTCTATTTTAAGCATGTCAGGATGAAACTATTATTAACCTGGCAGCTAGGTTTAACCTCTGTTTTCTGGCTAGCTGCTCTGCTTTCCCACTGTGCCATGGCATCATTGGTCAGCTTACCCCATTAATGAGGTAGTGCTATCAGCTCGGCATCACCTGTATTTTATGGATATAAACAGTAACAATACACATAACACATGTCTGGCTAATTATTGGGATTGCTAGCCACTAGATTGTTGCACACTTAGGTTGGTTAGCAGGCAAACTGAATAATACCTGTGCACCATAAGCTTAATCTCTGGAAATCAGGGGTCTGCGTTCTCATCAAGGTTTTAAAAAAATCACATAGGTCAAGGTGAATTTATACAACAGAATGCCCACTTTAGATGACCTGTGTGCTAAGAGTTTTTTAACTCAATCATAGATACCATGCTATGAAGAAATGCACAAGGTAACTGGACCCATACTCAAACAAGTCCAGGGTGTAAGCGCTTTAGTATACAGTGTTCCATCACACTGCTAGCTTATTTATGTATCTACGTTAACATTCCATTGACTCGGTGTAGTGACAGCATATAGTCCCTGATTTTAATCAGGAGAAGCTGATATTGCAGGGCTGGGATGTTTTGATATTTCTTGAGGCCTGGAGATACATGATTATAGGGGGTGGGGAATTTTGTTAAGTGGGGGAAGGAAGGGTTCTTGTTTCTCCAGATGTATCCTTCTCTGTGCTCTGTCCCCAGGCATACCAAATGACATTGACAAACTCTCAAAAACATGACATTTGAAAGATGGTCCCCAGACCTTTGGATGTTTGTGTGCATCAAAATGAAAGATTAGGAAGCCATAATCTGACAAATAGCAGGAGATAGGAATAGTGATGGTTCTTGTCTATAGTCTAAAGATATGTACTGATAGATTGTCAACATTAGTAGGTTAGAAAGTGTAGGGCACAATTAATTATCTCTATCCCTTTCTCAGCCATATTCCAGTTTATACACATTCATAAACACTGCTGTGTATGTGTGCTTTTGTGTACATACCTCTCATGGTTTATAACAGCTCTGTGTATACATATATGAACACTGCAAACATCTATATAGCCTCAACATGTGTCCCCTTATCCTGCATGTACACCCTCATCGTATATATATAAACTGACCTTATATTGGCCTTTACATTGTATAAACGCTGGCTATACACTCGGCCTGTATGTATACACAGACCCGTTATACCATGCATATACACCCTGATACTGCATATAAATCCTCTGAATTTATATTCACGATATTCCTTTATACACTTTCTACCTATATACAGCCTCGCCCCATCTAAAAATCCTGACCCTGTAATAACACACTGACTCTGTATACTGACTATGTTTATAAATCCATAGCATGCATAAAACACTCTCACTATGTATACACACCATTAACCTTTGCATATACACATTGACCTTGACTCTGTGCAATTACTAACTAACTTTGTAGTTGTTGTTATTACTTACCAACTGTATTTTTTTATGTCTGTGCCTACTTTTTTAGCCATGCAGAAACATACCTTATTAAAACGTGTAAAAAAAACCAAACCAACAAATAATTTGCCGTTATCGTTGGTCTTCAGGATAGTCTGATGCATAGGTAAAGCAGTATTGACTTACACTGCTATATTTTCTCATATCACCACTGGCTATAAACTGATCCATATAACACTGCCTTAAATGTCTGTCTTTCTGCCTTGAATTTCGTTATGTATCTACCATGTCTGTTGGTCTGTCAATTCTATTTATGCCTTTCTGCCTGTCCTGTGTCTGTCTTTCATATCAATGTGTTTTCTCTCAGGCAACTAACAGATGCCCCTCACATTCCCCCTCCCCCTCCTATGAAATAATTGGCATTGCATTTCCCAGTCCTGTTTCCGGAATCTGGAATCTCTCCATATCTGTTAATGGGCTGTACATAGTCTGGGGCTCAGAGCTTACTCTTTCTCTTAATTGTGTCCCTTTATTGATTTTCATGGTTTATTTTAATCCTCTTTCTACTTCTTTGCCCTGTCCCTGGCCTCATTCCCCTTACACTGTGCTCCATTAGAAGAGAAAGTGGGGTTGTTAAGTTCATTGTGTTTGCCATGAAATATACTCAGAAAAGAAATGTGAGAGCAGGTTTCCTTGCTTTGGCTTTCAAATGGATTGGCAACTATTGGTTAAAAAGTAAGATGTCCTATCAATAGGCTTACCATATCCACCATGTTTTCAGGGACACATATCCCGTATACTTATTGATGGGCAGCACATGAAAAGGGTTTCCCTGTAGTATTTACAATTTAGAAAAAGGTGTGTAAGATTAAGTAATTAGGCAATGAAGAATCCTGCAAAATATGCATTATAAATTCTGCATGGCAACCCTTTTCATAAATATGATAAAATAATATGTGTCCCTGAAAACATGGTGGATACCGTAACCCTACTTACCAACGCTACATCATATTCTGGATGTGTTTATACTTAGTATATGTGTGAACCCCCATACATCTAACAAATGATACAATACAATCTGGAACTCAAACAGTTACTAACTCTGTTGCCTTGCCAACAAGCAAATGTGAATGGGTTACAATACAAAGCAAAGTGATAGGCGTAATTTCCTCTGCCCACTCATGGGTGTGATCTCTGACAGACTGCTCAACATGTAATAAATATTATTTCTGATATCCACCTTACTCAGAGACTAAATACTATATCTTTTTATCTGCATCTACCTCCTAGGCTCTTATTCGTCATCTCATTTCTAGGTTCTGTATCTATAGCCTTACAAATTTGACAAACTTATCAGTCTCAAAGGAGGGATCTACTTGATCAAATGGAAATTTGCATTCCCAATTTACCCTAAATTCGGGCTTGGATATTTTCTTAGTCCTTTAATGCGAAAGGAAATCACAAATGACAAAGGCTCCATGTAATGTGTCAGATAGGCCTCTATTCCAGTGAAGTTCCTTGGAGAACCAATGTAAGAACTTATCTAACCAACCATATTTAGTACCGAAAACCTGCAGTTTGTGATTTCACTAGGTTGGCTGTACCACCATCTCAGCATGTTCTATAGTGAGACCGGTATTTGGGAAAAAATACTGTATTTGTGGAATAAAAAAACAAAACAGACTATTAGTGAATTCTGAAAACAGAAAAAGAAAATCAAGGATCAGCGCTATTCAACCACATCAAACAATAAGCAAAAGGCAGCACACGTAGAAGATGGGGCTCCCTCACAAACACCAAAGAAAAATTGGACAATACAGCAAAAGAAGAGGAAGGTTGTGCCAATACAAT